TATAATAAAAATATAAATATGAAACATCTTTGGATCTACGATATGATGTAGATCGCATAGAGAGACAAAGACAGAGACAGAGAGAGGGAGAAAGAAATTGAGAGAATTCTCGTCTCTTTTCTTGCATTATATCTTACCAGCAAGTCCAGCGGACTGCTGTTGTTGAGCCATTTGTTGCATAAAAATGTCCTGCTGCTGATGTTGCTGCAAGTGTGGTGGTCCAATCGAAGCTTGTTGTGGGAAAGTAGAAAATTGGCGAAATGAGAGTATAGCTGGGTCCATAGCAGTCCAATCGTTACCAGTATAACCTTAAATATAAATTTTTTGAAAATTAAAATTACCTCATCTTTTGAATACGTTTTTGAATTCTGCGAAAATTAGTGCAGATACAAATCTAGAGAAATTATTTACTTTAACATTTTATTATTTATTCGTTTAAAGCCAAATAATATGCTTGGCTGTAGAAAAAGTATACACAACAAATATATGTGCAATTATATATAACATATGCATATAAAGAATTACTTCATTTTTTTACCTTTTTGAGGTCCAGTATTTTGCATTTGATTTGTGTTCATCTGACGAATTTGCGAGTCACTAAGTTGTTGATTTTGCTGTTGAAAACCGCCTAAATGTGTATTCCATGTGCTATTGGATATCGGTAATTGTTGTTGCATAGGCTGTCCATTTGTATTCCCTGTAGCGTTTGTATTTAAATTCATAAATGGTAAAATTTTGCTATTGTTTTGTATTCTGGGAGCTCCAAATCCATACGTATTCATATGATTAAAGCCAGGAGGTGGCATGCGAGCTCGCTGCATATAATCTAACATTTGTTGTTGATTATTCACTTGTGTCTTGTGCTGTTGCGGCGGCTGAAGATGTAATAATTTTGAGGAGCCAACAGCAGAATTGTTACTCGTATTCACACTGTTGTTCTGTTGTTCTTCCTCATTTTCAATTAATTCAGCTAAGGCTTTTTGAGTCTCGATAAAAGGATCAAATCCTATACAGAGGCAAAGATTAACAACATAAGTAATCATAGAATTTAGTTTAACATTAAAATTTCAAATTATATTATAAGGCAACAACAAAAATATATTTTCTAAAATCGATTCAAAAACCAGCGTTGCTTACGCGCAAAATAAAAAAAAAAAAACAATTTTTTTTTTAACTTAACTCAGAATCCAAATAATAATGAAGACCCCTTAGAACTTTTTCTTACGAATCCTTTGAAAGGTAGAAATCTAGTTAAAGAGCAACTTTATTGTTTGGATATAGGAAAAACAATTTTTAAACCGCAGTTTAAAAAGCAATGTAAATACATAAGAACAATCAAGCAAACTAAAAATACAAGTCCTAGATACATAAAGTAGAATCTTAAAGAAGAAGAAGTTTTAAGGAAATCTCGTCTCTTACCTAAGTCATCGTCCGTGTTTGCATTTTGTATAAAATGGTTTTGCAAATTATTTGCTTGCGATTGCAGGGAACTATGCTGAGAATTTTGCGTCTGCTGTTGTTGCTGTTGCTGCTGCTGCTGTTGTTGTTGCTGCTGTTGTTGCTGCTGCTGTTGCTGTTGTTGTTGTTGTTGCTGCTGTTGCTGTTGACATAACTGTGAAATGAAATGTTATGTGTAAGCCATTTAATAATTTAAACGTTCAAAATAACAAAATATTATTACCATTTGATCGAATTTTCCAAAGAATCGCTGTTTTTGAAGTTGTTGCTGCTGCTGTTGTTGCTGTTGTTGCTGTTGTTGCAAAGACGTAGATATACCTGTATTAAAATATGAAAATAAATATGCAATATATACATTTCGTACTATATACATTTTCAAAAGGTAATCTAATCTCTCAAAAGTAATCTACTTCTGTTCTATCTATGGTTTGGTAATAATTCCTTTTACAGCTATAGTGTGTTTGCAATATCTCATTCATCCAAATCTCGAGATTCACTTAAATGTTTCATTAAACCCCACCGTACTTGCGCAAGACGCATGATGTGTTAACCTCCTGCGAAGACTGGCGTCCTGGCTTTTATTATAGAAGAATTGATCCTAAATCGACCAATATATTTTTGTGTTCAATGTCCAAGTCCTGACATATTGTAATGAAATTTCCTGCATTGAGATATTTTGGGTCAAGCATAGAACCTTATATTTAAAACGAATCCGGTTATTATAGGAGACGCCCAAAACTATGGACTGCTTTTAACTTTTTCTCTTTTCCTACACTTTTCATTATTTACATGAAAGTTTGGGAAAATTTAGTGGTATACCCTGAGTATAAGCATACTACAATATATGCAATCGATATAGCCACGTCTATTAGTCTGTCTCCTAGTGGAACCATTAAAGTCCTAAATGTGGCGATTTCATTTGAGAAAAAACCCATTATTCTATATTTCTATCAATGTCGTACTAAGTTATAACGGACAAATCGATTCGAAATTAAGCTCGAATATTAATCGAAATAAAGTACAACTGGTAATTATGAAATAAAAATCTACACTTACAGTTTGCATCAAAGAGCTGAGAATGTGTGCGGCTGTTTTCTAACAAAGACATCATATGCATATTGTCGCATAAAGATGGATTTCCATTAATCGAGACTCCAGCGTTGTTTAAACACTGTGAAAAATGAGAAAAACATCAGAAAAAATCTATAGCGAATTGTATCATCATATAAGGAACTTGGCGCAGTAAAAAAAAATTACTACAGATTTCTAGTTTAATATGGAAGCCTTAACGCTTAAAACAAAAAAAAAAAAAAGCAAGAAAATTATATTCCGTTGCGTCCGAAGCCTTTGTACCTATCACCGTTATTTAAGGAAAAAATTGAATATGTAATAATAATATTGGGTGGGCTTTGGCAAAGCAAAAATGCTGTCAGTTTTGGTTATATAGACTCTTTTGAAGATTTGCAGATTTGAAGATTTGTTGGCCAGACGAATATAGATGGACAGGTAAACAGACATGCTTGGATGTATTCCGTCTTTGCAACTAATCAAAAATTTGTATACTTTATGGGAAGCTGTATTTGAAATTTACTTCTGCGCTTTGTAAATGTATTGAGAAAAAATCAAAAATTCATATAATATAATATTGAGTAGGCATGGTCAATTTTGCCCATTTTCCATCACCTAGAGAATATACATTAAATTTTTGCATATCTATCTATGCTGTCATTTGTGAAAAATAGATGTGTCCTCCGTTTACGTGGTACTGTAGGCGGGTTCTTGGCCTATTTTTAATACCGACCTACCTGTGTGCAAGGGTTCCCAATGTTTCTGCCAAAATTTGAAGCCGATAGTTTAATTTTTGCGGTCAAAAGAATATTGACAACATACACTACAAAGACCGACGGATGGACATTGTTAAATCGGTTCAAAGTTTGATGTTAATCAAGAATGTATATACATTGCTGGTTCTTTGAAGCTTCATTCTGGGCGTTGCAAACGTTTTGACAAAATGAATACACCCCTCATGGGTACAAAAATTCATTTAAAAAAAAAAAAGAAGCAAATAACACGAATAAACAAAAAAAAGCATGCAAAGCTTGCGTAGCATCAAAATCCTTCCAATTTTAGGAATTACACGAAGCCATTACAATTAAAATCGATCGGTTGAGCATAACAGTGGCTCGGTATAGGTTATTAAAATTCGATTAATTGATTAATGACGTAATTAAATTTCATCGACATCTGTAGGGTAGGGTCTGACGGATTTCTATCTAGCATGAGAAAGAAGGGGAGAGCATTTCCTTGAGGGAAAAGAAAAATTCACGTTAAAGACTTTTTTATTCCAAAATTGCGAAGTCTATGCTACACTCTGACATGACGCAGATTAATCACAAAAAAAAAAAAAAAATTCCTTTTCATTATTTTATAAATAATTTAAGTACATACACATAATAAATAATTAAGTTTATACTGAAATATAATTTTACTTACACTCTGCATTTTTTGTTGTTGATTCTTGTGGAAATCAAAGAATTTCGACATATTTGTGCCAAATAGAGAATTGTGAAATGAGTTATCGTTTGAATTTTGCTGTTGCAACATTTGATGTTGTAACTGCTGCTGTGATGGTAAATTTGTTTGTCTCTCGCAACCAGTTAAAAGTGAATTTGTTACATTTTGCAAATCTAATGAAAAAAAAAACAAAAAGGTTGCAAGTTTCATAAAAGTTTTGCGATTTTTTTTTTTTTTTAAATATGACACATCGAAATTTATTCCTCTTTTATAAAAAGATCATAGAACAGATTTCAGGGCATTGTGTGTTTATTCACCTCGGATTCTTTTAAGCGTTTGTGAAGAATTTTTTTCGAATATTTTCTGAAGAGTGAGCATCATGGCTGCGTAATTAAACAATCTTGGTAGCTCTAAGCAAAGACACTTTTAACTTGCCCTTCGCCTTGCTTTTGGTGCTGGTAGTACGGGATTTGGCATTTTCAGAGCACTTTACTTTAAAAAATTGTGTTGCCTCTTTCCCTGCCTATATCTTTGCCTTGCTTATTTAAACATTTAGTCACTCATTGGATTGGCTTTCTAATCTCACGCAGTGATATTTGATATAAGCTCATAAGCTTTTCATAAAAACGAAAGAAAGAATGTCATAGTCTATATGCCAAGCTCCAGCTTTTCATATAACTTTTTGAGAGCGAAAGCACCGTATAAGACATAGGCGAACAGAGACACATATTTATAGAATAATAAAATAAATTTATGTACGATTATAAAAAAGCCATAAGAACACTTTTAACTATATATTGAGTGTTTGCAAAAATTTTGATCAGCGATTGCTACTTCTTAGGTAACAATGATAAAGAAATGGGAAATACCAGTGTACATAACGATTGAACTCGATGTTTTTGACCTTCCTCTCCATAAAGTGTAACTGTCTTCCATTTACCATTCTTGATTCGTTCAGTTGTACGCTGACGCTAACCATGGAGTCCCCAAAATTCTTCTTCTTCGAAATTAATGGCTTTCATTATTTATTTGAAGAAATCTGCTGCCGAAGCCCACCAAAACACGTCCAGAGTCTTATGGTGATGCCGCGTCATTATATCCAAATTGTCGATTTTGGGTTCAACGGTTTAAAAGTGACGACACGAATTGACTGAATACGCCATTTTTGGGCCATTTGTTGCAAGAGTTGTCCAGGATATACTGTTGCAATCCGAAAGGACAATGCGTACCAGCGTACTTAGCAGTTTTGTCACCTCCTGATTTTTCAGATCTATACAGCGTAGCTTGGCTCGAGTGCGAAAATGGGACTATTGATGGATCGCTGCCGAACCAATACAAGTTCTTTCGAGATGATATCGTCATGTGTGCCGATTTTCCACAATAAATGCCTTTTTCAACTGAGAAAGTGATCAACATTTTTGCAAACACCTAATATATATAAAAATATATGTGAAGCATGTCTGTCTGCCCGTCCGTCTTTAAATGAAACACTCACAAGCGCAAAAATTAAGATAGAAAGTTGAAAGTTGGCACATAACACTAATTTGTTGCCGCAAACTGAAAATAGGCCTGACGCGTGTCACACCCGCATAAATGGGAAGTTATAAATTGAAATGCCTAACAAAGATTGCTCTGAAACTCGGTAAATACTTTTATAAAGATGACCAAAAAAAAAAGAAAAAAAAAACAAAGAAGAATTTTAACACACAATCTAAAGGACGAAGAATACGTTTTCTGGGCGCAATATAAAAATGCATTGATCCACCAATTGGCACGCGCTAGCGATTGGTACCAATAACTTCTTAATTAATATGCAAAAAAGACATCAAAATCGCTAACGACATATTTAGTGTTTGAAAGAAAAAAGATTTTATAATTTTAAATAACATAATGTCGAGTCCGACTCGATGTGGTGGTGGTTGGTGTAAGAAACATGTGTTAAGAAGAAGTAATCGTTACCACGTCCTATGTTACAAAGTTTAAAAATGCCGCTTATCAGCCATACACTACATCTACAGGCATTGAAAAAGCCACCTTGACCATTTTTAAAGGAGAGTTTTAAAATGAAAAAAAAATGCAAAATACTTGCTCTATTATCTCGTAATTGTTACAAGTAAAATATATATCGTGTAATGCTTTAAAGAATTGTAATTTTGAGTAAATTAAATAAAATTACTATTGAAGAATTTCTCTCGTATATAAAAAAAAGAAAAATTTTTTTTTTTTTAAATTATCATTTGGAACACACACCCGAAGTCTGAAAATCATTTGATATTTTTTTCTTAACTTTGATTTTCTTTCGATTTTAAATTAGGTTTTACACACACAAGTGCAATAAGTACATAGAAGAAGACATGATTTTGATGGTGAGAAATATTAAAAACGAAAAAACTTCAAAAATATTGAAAGCATTTTCAATTGATTTCACTTAAATACATACCGTGATGATTTCTATTCATTTGTGCAAGCCCAAGAGAATTTAAGAGACTATTTCTTTTTTGAATCTCTTGAAGACGATGGATGTCATCTTGATGCTGAATGTGTTGTTGTTGATGAAACTGTTGCTGCTGTAGATGCATTTGATGCTGCAGTTTGTCGTCCATTTGCTTATTGGTTTTCGGTAAAACGCTTTTGAACGCATCTTCCCAGTCTAAAATTAAAAATTCAAAATGCATTTTACTACAACGTCTAAAGCACAACAAAAAAAAAAAAAAAAAACAGAGTTTTTCTTAGGTCTTAGGCGCACTTTAAATAAGAATGATAGAAATATACCGAAAAGCGCACAAAGCGGTGTAAGATGCTTTACCGTGGGATGGTAAGTAAGTGACCCTCTTAAGAAAGCGACAGCAGATTACAGATCTGATACCGTTTTGATTTGCTAACTGCTATCTGGCCTAATTTTACCAGTGACGTAACAATTTATTTATAAAGCGTGAAAACTGAAAAATATATCGAAGATTTCTTGCCGCATATATATAAACAATTTCATATTCGTATTGATGTATTGAAAATCTTAAATTTCAAGTGCTCCGAGGTATCACTAATCACAACATGCACCTTTTTATACCTTACACACTATCCACCAACTAAATCAGTTTCAAAGTTTTTCGAGTTTTTTTTGACAAAATCTATTACAATATATAACATGCTGTGATTCGAAAAAAATTTTTATTGAGAATCGATTTCTTTAGATAGTTTTTACGATTTCTTCCCATATAAAAAGTTGTTAAATGAAAAAATGTTCCATTTGTAATTAACGCGAACAAAGAAGGAAAAAAAAAACAGTAGCCCTTGATATAAATACTAAGTGAATGTGAAGAAGAATTAAGATCGTTTTTTTAACTTTCTCTCATACAAAGATTGTTACAAACAAGAGACCTTTGCATAGAATGCGACGCCTATTACTTAGTAATTTATGACAAAAATAGTGAATTGATATGTAAAGACCTTAATTTTTGGTTGCATTTTCAAAAAGTCGCTTGAAAATGATGCATAAAAAGGTTTTTATAACTTCTTAGAACTTAGTTCAACGTGTGGCGAGTTTTATTTGAAACAAACAAAGTCTAGGAACAAAAAACAAATGTACAATTTTACTCCAACTAAATGTTAACAAGGATCGCATCAAGCGACAAATGCTTTGTATGTGATACGACTAGGAAGGCAATGTGCTTCTCGAAAACCCTTTAATATAAATTGGTACTAACAAAGAAATTCCACTTTCACCTAAGCTTTTTTTGTTTAATAAGGACAAGATTAATAGCAATGTTGCGCAACTGATGGTGATGAAAGCCTTTTTCAAGCAAAAATAAAAAATTTGGAAAAACGAAGCGTTACAATTTTCAAATGATAGAATGAATGTTCCTCCAGACGATAGATGGATGATAGTTTGTCGATTATGGAAAAGTTAAGCAAAAAATATGAATCTACTATCGATCGCTACAAGTTCTAGTCGTGGTAATCTTCATGCACATTTTAATATATCTATATATATAAAGATCCTGCAATTCTCTACGTTATATAAATTCTCGATTTATACACATACATGCCGAAGACTTACCATTTGTGTTTAATGTGTTGTTCTGGTAAACATCGATTCCTGTAAATAATTGTAAACTTTGTATTATTAAATTTCATTCTTTCATTAAAAAAACTCTTAGAAAATCGAAAAATTTCGAACTGATTTTAAAAATGAAAAGCCCATAATTTTATAGAATGCCAGTAACTATTAAATCGAATTAACCAAATTAAATTATTCTTGAACAGATCCGACCACAATTTTCGATAAGTTAAATAAAATAAGTTAATAATGGGAGAATGCAATGAGACAATTTAACAATTTGTTTACCGTTTATAAGATCCGGTAAATGGGGATTGGCTTGATTAATTTGTATGGGAAGTGCCGTCTCGTCGACCAATTTGTTGTTTTTCAGCAACAACGATTGTTGAAAACCTCCAACGCCAGAAGAAAAAAAACTGTTGCCGTCAAAAAGACTCAGTTTAGAGAAGTCTTCTAAAACGATAAATTTAATTAAGTTAATAATCGTGCAGGTGAGAAAAATTCTTCAAATTGAGATAATATATTATTAATTACCCAATGGAAAATCGTTTTTAACCAAATTTAATGTACCGTCGCTGCTATTGTGATTTAATGGTTTTATTCTGTGTGCATTGTCATTGTTTTCTTTTGCATTACTTCCCTTGTTAATGTTATTTTCTATCTTTTCCGAATCTAAAACGTTATTTGTTAACATTATATTGTTGTCGGTTATAAATTGAGAAATTTTATTATTACTTTCGTCTGATACGTTTTCCTTCTTATTGGTCGGTAATGCATCCGAGAAAATTTTTCCATCTTTTTCTGTTGATGAACATGTTTGCCTATTGTGAGAATTATTTTCGATAAAATCACCCGGGGAACTTTTTCCGCTGATACTCTCATTAGCTGATATTGAACTTTCATTGCTGCTGCTGCTACTACTGCTGCCACTGCTTGAGCTAAGCGAACGCTGATCGTCATTTTTATTAGCGCTCTGTTTGTGCTGTTTATTGACAGAGTTATGTCCCATTCCATATTTCGTATAATCGTGAGCCTTCGCGTCATTTTCGTTCGAATAACATAAAGAGTCTTCTTTACGCAGTATCTGACGACTTGATGTAGTATTATGGTGTTTATCTTTATTCTTATCGGATTTGGATTTGCCATCAGATGGAGAGTAGCTATCATCTCCATGAGAAGCTGATGATGAGGACACACTTGTATCCGTATCCTTCCCCGTTGAATTTGCATTGACATTAGCAGAGTTGTTGCTGTTGCTGCTTTTATGTTTTATTTTAACAACTTTATCGTTCTTCGATTTCTCTGGTTTGCTGCGATCTTTCTTATTTTTTCCATTATTATTGTTATTGCTATTTACTCCTAGACTTAACGAAGATTCTCTCGTCGTAACTGGTGAAACCGACAAACTTGGCCAAGCATCTTTTTGATGGACCGTAGCGACAACTGATGCCGCTGTTGATGCGCTAGTAAACGAAGGACCTGCCATTGATGTAGTTACCAGGCACGAAGATGACGTTATTAAACTGGGCGCATTATTTAATCTTCCATTTTCCAAATTTTTAAGATTTGTAGCGGCCGAGTTATGGCCGTTGGAATTAGAAGTAGAAGATGCAATCAAAACCTCGTGGAGTCGTTTTTCATACTCCTGATGTTTTCCTTGATGCATTTCCTATATTATCAAAGGTTTATCAAAACTCTTAATATGCTTTCAAATATCAAACAAGCAAACAAACCTCTTTAGTAAAACTTGCTTCTGGATCGCCCAATTCATGCAAATACATGCAATCACTTTTGGGGCATTGTTGATTTTTCATGAAGTGACTGCAATATTTTGTAGTTCCCAGACTAGTTTTTATAAGTCGCCCATCAATCGTTATATTATTTACACTTTGTATTGCACGCAACGCGTCCGTATTATGTACATAAGTTACGTAGGCCGAAGCAGAGGGACCCTTAAAATAATAAAAATTATGAAATCAATTTAGATTTCATAGTTAACAGTCAAATTTCGCCAATCTAAATACTAAGTTGTTAATTCATTTACGGTGTCGGTCATTTAAAGAAAGCTACTTTGTCCGTTTAATCAATTTCAAGGTTAATCAACATAGGCAATCAATTCATTTATGTTTCTTTAATGTTCATGACCTACTAGACTTTTGCCATATTGGGTGATAAATGCGGCCAAAGATGAACGTTGATAAACACAATACAACACACACTGTTTAATGAAAAGAGTTTCTTATCATTCCCAATTGAATTTCTTAATAATAATTGAATTTAACTCCTTGGTTTTCCCCGCAAGCACTTGCGGGAACGATTTAACTGAGATGTAAGGCAATCGTCAATTTAATAAAAAATTTTTTAAAAATTTAATCCCAACTTATTTTTGGTTTAAGCAAATATAGCACACATATCGGACGGTAATGGATGAAAGGATCAGCGGACAATTCTCTACGCATATATTTTCACTTGCAATAGATCCGAAAAATGCGTGGAATTTATGGCTGATATTTACTACAAATTCTTAGCTTGTAATTATGGTACTTCCCTTCACATTCTTATTTGAATAGTAAATTAATATAATTGGATGGATAAGAATTCTTAAAGCAATATTTTGTTGCTCTAAGTGAGCGGATAATATGTATTTTGAAAACTTGCGATTCAAAGTTTAAATATTCAATTGAGATACTACAAGTATTAATTGGTAGCTATAAATCGTGACTTACCTGAATTCCCGCGTATGTTGTACTGGGGTTAATTACTACCTTATGAATTTTTCCATATTTTCCAAAATACTCGTGTTTTTTAAGAATCTGTCATAATAAAGTTTCAATTGAGAGAAAGTAAAATAAGTTTTCAGTTATAAGTTTACACGGTATTATACTAAACGAGATAAAAGAGTTTCGACCTGAACATATACTTACATCAGCATCAGCGAGCCGCGGTGGTAAACCAACCACAAACACCAAATTCTTCTGAACAACACGAACATTAGCTAAATGTTTTCGATTTTCCGTAATTTTCTGCTTTCGCTGTTGATCGCGTTGCCGTTTCTGAGATTTAAAAGCTATCATCTAAAATGCAAGGATAGAAATAAATTTAATTTTTTAATTGATTTGTTCGCGAATCTTTGATACCCATCATTTAAACAAAATATAAAAGCCGAAGTTTCCATATGTCGATCAGGAATCAATTTTTTACAATCTCATAACCCCATTTTAAGATCTACACTTTATATGTCATCGATGACTACATTTTAAAAATTTCGGCTTTTCTCGAAAATTAAGTCGGCTATGCACAAACAATATAAATAACCACAGCTTATCTGTTTCGATATATCACGGATATCCTAAGGTCCCGTTGCGTATGTTATATCTGAATTAATTTTTTTCAACATACCAGCCGACAATAAAATAAAATGAAAGCACTTTGTATACAAGATCTATATAGACTTGAAAAAAAAAAAAAAATCCATTTGAGCGATTTACCTCTTCTTGTGTTAATGGTTTAAAGTCGGCTGGATTTTCAGGATACTCCTTTCGGCACGCAGGGCAAAGCTCATTTTCATCAGTTCGTATTCTATGCCAGCAGAATCTGCAAATCTATATAAATGTTTGCACGCGTATGCAGAGATGAACGATAAATTTTAAAATGTACGTAAATTCATATACCTGGTAACCGCAAGTGCAAGGAAAGAAGTTCAAATCGTCAACTTCGAGCGGCTCCATGCACAAGGGACACTCTACAACCTCGTCAATGCTGCTATTCAAGTTGTTCATTTTAAGGATTCTCAAGTAGCTTGATATCAATGTCTTGTATTCGTAAGGTTGCTATATAAATCGTATTCGATTGCTTTACGTTGTTTTAATATCACAATGAATATGAAAACGCCTTTGTTTTTTTAAACGTTTCACGACCACAAATTGTCCAAAATACGTTGTAAGAACTTTTCTAACGTTTGCTCGCCGAATACTGAAAAAATCAAAAATATGTAAAAATAAATTTTGACGAGTTTTCAAAGAAAAAAAATATTGTGATTAAATGTGAAGACATTTAAGGAATGTTTACAAACTATTTAAATTGTTGTATTGCAGGGTTTCCCACCATCGAAACTATGATAGAAGATTATTGAAATTGTATAGGTAGCAAGCAAACTCTGCATAGATAAATCGTTCGTTTTAAATGTATGAGGACAAAGTAAACAATTAACAATTTTAGTTATAGCCATTTTCAGGCAATTAGGCTTGAAGCCTAACAGGAAGTGGGGATTTTGATGGTAGAATCTTACTCAATTTCAGGAAATCTGCAACTGTATCTGAACGCAATATCTTTTAGTAGGTTTCGCTAGCACATTTCTATATGCTTTCCTGATTTTCGTATGTGTCCACAACATTCTACTCTTTTAGTTTTATTCTTTTTGATAACCGCATTACCTTAGACAATGAAGTAACTTCTTACAGCCTAAAAACGTAGTTCACAGCTGGATTCTTTGAACCATAAGAATACTCGGCTACGTAATCATCACTCATAATCATCGTTGATATAGTATCATCTCGTTGCCAAATTTCGTATATAGAGAGGGTCTCTTTGAAATACTATCTTCATGCCAATATCTAATGCAGTCGCTAAATATATTTAAAAGTTAATCTCTTAAGGTAGGTACTATTGCCTAAATCGGTTTACAAACAGAAAAAACAGATTGTCCTGCGATGTCCAACGATGGATTTGGTGGCAAGTGGCGCTAGTAATACTCATATAACTCAGATCTTTTTATATAAATGCCCTCTCAAAACGCTTTTTACCCCTCAAGTAAATAATAAATTTGTAGTTGACAATGCTCCAAAGGTTACAGAAAATAATCGACATCAATTTCAACAATTCGTTAAGTGCAATAACTGTTTCGTTCATCAAACTCACTTTCTGTCAATCATGACATGCAGTATTGATGTTGAATTAGACTAAGATGCTTCAAGCGTCATTTAAGCGAGCAAAATGAACGAACCCAAAGTAGCGACGTATTTAAAAAATTCGGGGTTCAGTTTTTCCGAAATCATTATTTGGTTTCTTTCAAAATTTCCTCCTCTTTGCAAAACATTCACCGTTAATCAAATTATAAATGAGAGCGAACCACTTCAAAGTCCCCATTTTTTGTGAGTCATTTTTGCTAACCATATTTTTAAGTTTTTGGTATAGTAAGCTTTCCAACGAATTTACCCTAAGATTCTTTCATCTACTGATCAAGGAGGTTAAGAAACTTTTTGGATACGCTAAAGCATATTTGTATACCAATACAAACACTATAAATCGTATGACAATATCTGTAAGGCACATTAATTATAGACTAATATATAGTTAGACCTTTCGTACTTAAGCGCAATCAATTGTTTTTTGTTGTAAAGGCATTCATTCTACTCATTTTCATAGGTCAGTGCTTATAAACAACATTCGCTTATTCTCTTTTTTTATGTAGGCGAAGTATATAATTCCAACAGACAAACATGTGAATAAACATTGTGTAAACATTGCGAATAGTGTAAGCGGAAGGATCATTTTGCATTCTGTCAATTCTCTTGATTATGAGAAAATTTAAAGCCAAAAGCTTTTCGTAAACCTCCAACTGGTTTTTCTCTAATCAGTAGTTGCGCTGAAAATAAAACAGTTTTTCGCGATAAACGATAAATCAAACTTGGAGATACCTGTGTATTGTTCAAAAGTAATGAAATCACAAAATTTCTAAATTCGGGAGAAGGTGCAGCTCCCTTCAACTAAAGAAGTGTAATGGTATTTTTTCTTTCTTTCTAGGAATCCCTTTAATTGTGTCTTCGCAAGTTGTCTTACTCCTTATTGTGCGCGTACGCCTGTGTGTGCGTTTTCAGAAAATTACCAAATCAATTTTTTTTTCTTTTTGCTTACGTATTGTCATATGCATACATACGAAATTATTTGTCTGAAAAAAGAAAAATTCGGTTGAACACATACGAAACACAATAGCTAGTAAGGAATAACCAAATCCCAGCTTATTATGTGGGCTTAAAGACATATTCGTTTTGAGTAATCTTCCAACTTTTTTTTTCTCTCTTCTTATTTTTCTTCTTTTCTAATGGTCGTATTGTAACACTTGAACAATGGAAAGAAAATATGACCCGAATTAAACGACGACTTTTTACGCGATACATATTATATACCTACGTAAATCTAATCCGTTCATGCAATTGTATTAAAAAAAAAAGTTCGAGAATATTGTCAATGCCAGAAATACTTTTCCTTTTCTTTTCTTTTTTTTTTTTTTAATTTTTTTTTGTTAAAACGGCAACGGATTAATGCGATTTCAATTATATATTCACCTGGAAAATGGTTAGACCGTTTTAAATTGTAAAGATATATTTCCTTTGATTTTTTTCAATTTTTTTTTTTTTTTTTTAACAATTCAGCTGAAACTCTTTATGGCGAAAAATAATTCACTCTAAAATACGTGATTGCCAATCTACACTTATTGTATAGTTTCTTGATATTCCATAAGACAAGGGCTATCAATCTATCAATAGTGCTGCTGCTGTCAGGCAACTCTGAAATTCAATTCTTTTACGTTCAAATTTCACACATGCAAATGAAGAGTGAAGAGTATAGTAAGTAGCACAGTTTCTAAAAAATCCTCGATATGTGAAATGAAAAAGTATTGAAATAGTGGATGCGAAAGCTTTTAGAGAAAATTAAACAAAATTTCAAGCATTGAATATTAAAAGTGATTGTATGATTTAAATCAGTGGATTTTATTCAACGACTTCAATGATCATTCTGTTTTATTTTAAAATCCTTCAGCCAATATATGAATGATGATGGACTTAGAAAAACTTAACAATTTAATCCAGTTTGCATAGATTTCAAATTGAAATACTTAAACACAAATTCAAAGGTTCAAAGCAAAATCCCTTCGAAATGCATAGGAATTTTAATCCATATTTATTTCAACTTAATATAAATGATATTATCGATGAAATATTGCTTTGAATAGTTCCCCGTCTGTCTTGCTAAAGGTGTGTGAGAAGTTTTACACATAAAAAATCTCAACAAAAATAAAAATTGATTCAACACCAAACATTTTTGAAGAAAATATATTGAAAAAGTGGTGCGACAAGAAACAGCTGAAAAATTTATATTGGTACGACAAATTTTACTCTCGCTTTACTGTCTTGCTAAAGGTGTGTGAGAAGTTTTACACATAAAAAATCTCAACAAAAATAAAAATTGATTCAACTCCAAACATTTTTAAAGAGAATATATTGAAAAAGTGGTGCGACAAGAAACAGCTGAAAAATTTATATTGGTACGACAAATTTTACTCTCGCTTAGGTTTTCAGCTGTTCCTCCTAAACGGGTGAATGCGAAAATGAAATCTAATTTTCAGTTACTTGATTACCCCCATGCAAAAATCCCTATTGGTGAAGGTTATTTTCAAATTTGTTCCTCTTCATTATGCCGTCAGCAAAAAATTTCCAAGCCTTCTGCAGACCTCTCTATTGCTGGTTTGATAACTTCAAAGGTCCATTTCATTTCATTATCCCTCTTCAGCTTGGTCCCTCTCGTCTTAAGTTCAAAATCAATCAAGAATTTTAAAGTTGCCGCTAGTAGCGGATATAGTTGTTATTGCAAATTTTTACACCGTACGTGATTGTTGTTGCAAATTCGAATTTTTGGGCACATTTGCTATGCACGTACTATTGTTTACATATTAAAAGTAAGACCGTTGCTATAAGAAATAAACACTGTATATTTGAGTATTACGTAACCCTTGTTTATTTGACATCCGTCATATATTTAAATAAATGAAATTTACCCTAAACTTCTTTTAAGGCACACGCATGTATACATATATATATATATACATAGCTTCAGTAGAAAGTGAGTATTCTAGCGACCCTTGCATTGGGAAGACTTGTTTTTTTGAATGGCTCTCCCTTTATTATTTGGGTGTTTGTGTGGAAGGTTGAGAATAAACGCCTCGATCAAACCGAAAAAGATCGTACAAGTTCCGATAAACAGAAAGAGGAGAGTTGATGACTCTCAATCGATTTTAGATGATGATAATGTGAGGCTGGGATAATATTTTGGACAATTTGTTAACTGATGTCGGAATTTGAGACTTTCTACACTACTACGAACCTGACGATGTACAAAAACAACTGAATCTTAAAATCGAAGGTTTTTTTTGGGGGGGGAGGTTTTTCAATAAAACATTCGAACAACTCCCTATAAACAGTTTTTTTCAGCCTTTATAGGCAGCGGATCATTTTAGACCAATTGAAACACTTAGTCTAGATATCAATTGAAGATAAAATATTCGATTCGAGTTTTACAATATATAAACAAAGAGATTCTCACAAAAATCGCATTGAAAAATTTTAATTAACGTAAAGAAATTATCTTAACACAATATTAGTAACGATTGCCAAAATTATATACAAACTCTGAAGTGATTCAATTTTTAATACAACTTATAAATGGAATAAAGTAAATATAGTCTGACTGTTTAGAATTTTGATTAGAAAAATAAATTAATTTGAAATAAAGAAAAGAAAAATAAAACAACAAAGCCAATTAAGACATTTAATTAATTATAATAACAAGGAAAAAATTAAAAATTAAAAATATATGAGAACAAGATTATAAAGCATAAATGCCTTTGATTGTACGTGCTCGTGCAGACTAATGTATGTATGTATGTGTTCGTGCAGACTATTGAAAAGAATATATGTAGATTTGTCAATAATGAAAACGTAAATATATTAAGATGACCTAAGGCTTTGCAAATATGTTTTCAGTATGTCTTGAAGAAACCTTTACACAAGCACATCATTCAATGAGAAAATTGGTCTTCGTGGGTCAAATTACTGTGCGGTAGAGCGTACCTGTTCTAGCTATAATTAGTCGTCAGTCATAATAAGGCATAATATTAGTCGCACAAGCGTCCACGTCCATGCTGTGACCGCTTCACTTATTTCGTTCGCTTTCTTTACCTCTTTCCGAGCAACATCGTGCTGCGCGTACAGACAGGGAAGAATATCTCTTAAAAAAGAGTTCTTTGGTGGCCGAAAAATCTTATCATGCAAACGAGTCTGTAGCGTTCGAAATAAGCGGTAAGTTCGAAGTAACGCTCTGCAGAACCAAATTTTCAGAAATATTCAATGAAAAACATTTCTTAACGGAGAGGCGACAAAGTTCAACTTGAAGATTCTCCAACATTTTAATATTCCATTGACATGGAAAATATTGATTGATTACTATACCAAGTTACCTAACGCCGCTCAGCCATAATTTTTGCGGATACTTAAATTCTGATATGAGGGCTATAAACGAGTTGCTATAGGTTTTCAAAGGAATGCGTGATAGTAACTTCGAATTTTACGCCAATAATACAGATTAATCCATAGGCTGAACAGAATATAATATAATATTTCGGGAACACGGAATTGATTGAGCACTAATGTATTGTGATCAATGTATACGTTACGATACTTAAAAATAACAACATAGACTAGATGAGCGTGCAATTAATATGGATGATAAAGCCGAATATTTATAGCTCCCCTCGGTTTGGTTGAGGCTATCAGCTAAACTCATGGCTTTTTTCTAGTGTACAAATCAAACAATAAATCGCGTAATCTGGCAACAATAACATATTAATGCACATATATATTTTGCAAATATTAACTAATGTTAATGTTAAGATTAACTTTCAGATTTTTGTTTTCTTGCAATTTATTAAAAGCGCACACATTCTAACGTAGCGATTACTTCAGTTATTGTTTTGTTGGCAACGTATAATCAAGTACTTGACTTTTTTATCGCCTAACAACAGCTAAAAAAGAAGAAAGTAAAATAAAATAAAATTTTTTATCAATTGTTTAGATCGTAAGTGTGTGCGTGTGTGTTAAGGTAGAGATCAGAAAATGAAAAATAACATAACTGTTTATGGGAATATGTGCATGTGTTGTATATATAAGCGAACATGTGTGTGTGTGTGTGTGTGTGCAAATGCATAACTAAATAACAAATTTCTTCTTCTTTAGTAAAAGTATTTTTTCTTTTAACTTACATGAATGAGAGAGAAATCTAGAGGAGAATTAGTCATTGGCTAACCACCTACGAGAATATTTCATGAATTTCAAGTGACCTTAACTATATCAGCGCTTACGATTGCAGATATCTATCTATTTATGTCTAGTGATCAAAAAGTTAATTAAATATATACGCGCATACTTACATACAAGTGCAGTTATTTAAATAATAATTAAGTGCATAGAATACAAAAAAAAAAAAAAACAAAAAAAAAAAACAAAAGACTTAAGCTACAAACTTTCATTTGTAAATACACATCTCAACTCGTTTCAGTAAACTTTTCAAAAATTTCTCCTCCAATTTTTATAAATAAGAAATTTTTAATTTTGCATTGTTTTGAAATTGAAAAAAAAATCTATTAAAATAAAATTGACAAAGATAAAATTAATTTATCATACCTTATAAAACACTTGTCGTTAAGATTGTGCATATGTATGCAACATGGAAAACGACTTGACACCTCTTAAACTAATCGAATCTATATAAGTCCGACTGTCTGTCTGTCTTATATCTGCCCACGTAATTTCATATTCATCAAGACAAGGATTATTATAATTTTTGAGATATTTCGATAAAGTTCGCAAACTAACATTCTCTGGCATTCCGATTAGCTTTATTGAATTGGGCGATTTTTACAACTACATCACGTATAATGCCGTAGTTTGGGAAAAGCGTTTTATTAAAAGAAATTTTTCGTTTTGTATTTTGTGCGTATTAAATTAAAACATATTGATGGAATCGAATCCTTTTTTTGGCCCTCTTTCCTATAAATTTTCACACGAAACATAACGATTTATATAGCACCAAGAGCTAATAATTATTATTTTACAAAAAAAGAAAACCAGAAAAAATAATGATTTTTCCATCAAAATTCACTGCGACAAGTCTGGAATCATATAGATCTATTTTTCGGAAACTTCTACATATAACGGTCTCGACGAATATTAAGATTTTCCATAACAATAAAATATTGTATGCAAGAGACATGACTACAAGCAGTCTACTTAGATGAAGTGGTGTTGGTTGGTCTAATAATCGAACTGGCTCGATTATAACTTTTTTAAAGTTAATGTTTATGGAAAGAACGAATTTTTCTTTTTAGATAACTGTGAATATGGGACGTACGTCTGTGTTACTATTCTGCCTATTGTTTGCCTTTCTAACTGTAGCCAATGGAAAGTTCGGCGACAAAGTGAATATCAAAGAAAAGGATCTAATGCGTAAATCAATAGTATTTGATAAAAAGACACCCGATGTCTTCTATTGTCCAATGCAAAAACCATCGGCTATGAATAAATTGATTGTTCGGTAAATTTATAAAAAAAAAAATAAATAAATAATTAAATAAAACAAATGTAACAATTACAATTAATCAGTTTTAAGCTCTAAGTTTGAATTTTTCCTTTTATTCATATAGATCTCGTCCTTTACATAAGCTTTGCGAATACGAAGGTCGACCATTGCCGGAAGATTATAAATCGGATTGTTATGGCGATATCGATGAATCTAATTATGCCTGCAAAGAGAAATACAGAATTATGGTAAGATGTCGCTTGGAAATGTTGCAAAAAAAAAGTTTCATTGAATTTATTTGCTTATACAGCACCAAAAAATAATTATTATTATTATTATTGTTATTATTATTGCATATTAATACTAAACTATTACTAATTAATAACTTACAGAAACGGTTCACTTCAGATGACACAAGTACACTACGCACCAAATAAATATTCAACCAAATTAAATTAGTCGCAAATTTTAGCCTTTAATTTACCTCAATATAATATTTAACGTTCACACAAAAATTAAATATTAAAAAAAAAAAAAAAAAAAAAAAAAACAAATAAAAATCTTTATTGAATACATTTTTATACGCGTACCTATATAAAACATATACATATATACATATATATATGTATATGAAAAAAGCTTTGCTAACATTTGTTTAAACAATAAATTTAATATATTTACAAAAATATATATAACAAGTAAGATAAACTTGTGTTCGCTTTAGGGCGAATCACGAACACCAATCGCCTTAAGCAAATGTAGGAAATGTTATAAAGCCAATTGGAGGGGCGTATCCGTAGCGCGACCTTGATTACTTGTTCGTTCATAAAGTTTTAATCAATTTCTTAGCGAATTTCAACAAGTTTATGGGTCCGCCACACCCATTTTCCATAATCCATGCATTTGAATATATGTATTTATGTCGAATCTCACGTTCTCATTTCAAATTAAATGTTCATAGCATTTCAGCCAACAGACGGATGAACGGACGGACGGACGGACGGACATAATTAAAACAATCAAGTGTACATGATTCCTCTTAAGCAGTACATTTTCATTTATTACAAACGATATAAGAAATTTAGAATACCGGTGATTGGTATAAAACTGCATTCCAACTGTATGTACATACCATCGCATATTGTTAGATAAGTATTTAAATTTCGTTTTTACTTCATTGATAAGCATTTAATGTTCGAAGATATTAAAAACAATTGATAAGCTTTAGGTTTCACTTACTCTCAATATCTCAGCGAATTATCTAACAACTTTTCTAAAGGGACAAGAAATTTTTCAAGTATTCGTCATTTATACTTCAAGGAATATATGAAATCCATGATATATGAATCTGACTAGATTTCAGTTGTAATGTCGTAGAGAACAATGATTGATAAATTGATGAATATTTAAAAAGAAAACTGTTTCTAATTCAAGCATCATAACGCCATGAATGATTGGGAATTTTGTCTCGTCTCAAGACCCTAAAGGATACTTACCTCTCATAAAATAATTGAGTACGAATTGGGTTGCATGTGATAATTAAGCAGTTAACTGTTGCATTTAAATTGCTCCCCCAGTATATTCGTCACTCAAGGAGTACACGTTATATGAAATTCGATTGGGATGAAACGTCTTGACATAATGACACTATTATGGCAAGTACACGCTCATCATAATAAAATTTTATGAGAAAATCCAACAAGGATCGATCAAGGGATAATAACGTATATACTCGCCATAATGCAAAATTTCGCATTTATTTCATGACGAGTATAGTCGTTATAGGCAGTTAACTGCTTAATCACAAGAAAGATTTTCGAGCCAAAAGGCAACAACAGTAATTGCTTTGGTTGATTCAAAAGTGAAGCTTTGATTTTATGTGCTATGTAAACTTAAATGTGTTCAAGTTGGTTAGAGGAATTTTTTTTCCACGTAATGCTTAAGCAACATCAAAACAGTTCAGATTCAAAGAAATTTACGCAGCCTAAAAAAATGTCACTACGCTCTCATGGCACGAATCTTATCGGTATTCGAAGAGCTTTCTTCAACATATTTTGAAATTTACGATCAGTTAATTAAACACACATAATAAATGGGTAGTGATCAGAAAGACAGACTGGAATTGATTTGGGAAATGATTCCTAGTCTTTTCATATAAAGGAAAAGAGCCTATCGCAGCTCGTTTTAAAAAATACTCTTAAGTTAACATGCTTTGTGATTCAGTGCATGAAAATTGGGCTGACAGAATTTTTATACCCTACCTCACTTGTGATACAAGAGTATATTAACTTTGTATGAATATATATAGCGTCAAGAAGGACTTGAGATATACCTTAGTTTTGTTATATTGATCGATTCAGAGTCACTTTCTTAATCAGTCTAGGCTTGTCTGTCTGCCTGTCTGTCCGTCCGTCCGTCTGAGATCTATCCATGTATTTTCGTGTATGGATTTTATTCCATTGCTTATTGTCGATTCAATTGCTGTCTCTCTATTGTTTTACTATATCCTACACCGCTTATATTACAGAATATGTTAAGTGTTTGCTGACGTATGCAACACCCAGAGAAACTTGAGATAGACCCGCTTTTTATTATGCCGATCGAGTCAGAAACACTTTCTTTATCAATTTAAGCTTGTCCGTCTGTCTGTCTGTCCGTCTGAGATCTATCCATGTATTTACGCGTTTGACCTATGGGTCGTAATTTGTGAGACATCTTGAGAAGATTTGGTATAACGAGATGTTTTGGTTCAAAGAAGAACGCTACTGAAAATCGTTCAGATGGAATCACTTTTTCCCTCATTGCTCATATAAAGTCTTATTTTGAAAACTCGTCATATGAATAACTGTGTTAAGTGAAGCGATCTATAGTACCGGGTCGTGACTCACTATAATGTTTGTTTACTTGCTAATATGGCAAAATTCGTGATGCTTCCACTGAAGTGAAATTATTTTAAAATATATCTCAACAGGCAAGTGATTTCGAATTTTTGAAACTTTTGAATTCGTTGCTCAGGTTTCGTGCGCTGTCAATAATCAATTCAAATTCTTTGCGCGGCGAGTAATAGTTTTTGTAAGAGAATGTTTATTGAACATATACACAAGCAACGATTAGGGCAATCTTTGTTTCAAATCTTTTAGTTTCATATGTGTTCTAAGGTCCGGACTTTTGGCAGCATTATTTTCTAATGTTCATTTTTACTCAGTTGTTCAGCAATTTTCTATGAACATTTAGTGGTCATTTACGCGCTCGCAAAGTCCTTTCATTTCCATTTCAATTATTCGAACTTGAAAACAGATCGAATAACAGATGTTTACAGAGATGAACTCGATTAAGAATGTATACTTCAGGGATTCCCTAATCTAGCACGCAATTTTGTATTTGCATGTCCCGAAGGATCAGATCATAGCTCAGCAAAGCATTAAGAAAAATTTCAAAATTATTTATCTTTGGACACGAGATGCTTATTAGCGAAATACTAATAGTGTTTGAATGACTTTAATAAATATTTAAATTAGTTTTTTTTTTTTTTTTTTTTTTTTTTTTTATATATATATATATTTTATATATAAATCATTAGTTTAAATAGTGTCATGTGCAGTAATACAAATGCTTTTGATTTGACATTCATTGCTGATTTCATATAATTGTATTTTCACTTGTTTTCATATTCAAAAGTAACTGTTTTTAAAAACATGTAATCTTTAGAATCGTGCTTATTATTCATCAGCAATTAATAATGTATACGCCATACGCCAATTTGAAGACATCTAATGTGTGTAAATGTTTGTAAATTCACTAAAAGATAGTTTGATCAAAAATCAATAAGAATTCTTAAATTGCGCGCACTCGATTTGCTTAAGGAGTTGAGTTTATTTGTATATGTTACTAGCATTGCCGGCAATGGGAACCGAAGCTTTTATGCAGATGTCATGATTAATGATTCTATTAGGCGAGGGAATCAGCAAGACACATTTCAGTGGATTCTACAAAGCTTTGAGAGTTTTGGGAAAAATCCAAGTAACAATTACGAGCTTTTACGAGATCAGGAAAGCACGAGTTATATGCAAGTTCAAGCAAGTTCATCACTGATAAAGTTGTAGAAAAAATTCAGGAAATTGAACTTTTTATACCCTACGCCACTTCTGGCAAAAGGGTATACTAAGTCTTTGCGAAGACCCAGCAGCACTTGAGATAAACCGACCTTGCATTATACCTATTCAGAACTATTCAGAGTTATTTTTTTAATCGATCCAAGCTTACCTGTTCGCTTGACGTCTATACATTTACTTTTGTGTTTAATCTATAGGTCGCAACTTTTCAGATATTTTGATAAGATTTCGTACATCGAGGTATTTTGGCTCAAAGACAAACTAGGCAGCCAGTGAAAATGGTTTTGGGCCACTTCCCATGCAACGCTTCATTCTGAAATGTCGGCTCCTGCGGATTATTCGTAGTAATTAAATTTGTCACACGCTATTAGCTTTTGGCCGCAGAAAGACCAAATAAATATGAAAAGGGGGTCCACTGACCCCATATATCTTCAGTGGTAGCTAGCTCAACAATGCTACGTGTGTTCGTCCTTACAACCTCCGATCCTCTTCAAGCGGCACTTAAGAGTTGCCCGAAAAACAATAAAGTCAGTAGTTCGATAATCAGACCGAGAGAGGATTCTTACAGACTCATGCTTTACATAAACTACTACTACTACGGACTAAAATAGGCTAAATTTCATCACAGTATTTTGATAACATAGAAGGCACAAGGACAAGCGGAGAGACAAACTTAAACCATTTTATAAAATGATCGATCCTTGGAACAAAAAATAGGTCTATCTCAAGTTGTTCTGGATGTTGTGTACATTCACACAAATTCAATAAATCTTTCACCACAAGTGACTTCGAAAAAATCATGACGATTATATAAACCATTTACCTTTATAGATAAAATTTCATTTCCTATAGTATTTCCTATCAATATATTCCATTATGAAATCTCGGATTTACAAGATTAAATAATATAAAATAATCTAAAGTTTTTTTATATGATTCTCTGTATTACAAAATAGCCGGATTTGAATGCGTTAATACTAACTTAACAAATCCAAAAAAAAAGAAAAAAAAAAAAAAGAAAAATGGACGGTGGCGCAATAAAAGGTAACAATGGTGTAGGATTTTAATGTCCATGTAATCGGAAACGCATAAATTATGTACAGTGTTTTCTCTCTTCCACCTTATAATACTAATACTTACATATATACATGTCTATACAAAAAAATTGCAGATGAGAAAGTATCCACCCGGAAGTGAAGAGCCCTTTAATGGGACACGTTTACGCCGTTTCATTGATATGGAAAGTCATGCACAACAAAAATTAAAGCAGCAAACGTCTTGAGATCTCTTTCGTCTATCCATTTTGATTTTAAATAACAATTAATATCGAGCAGAACTAATTTTTATAATATTTTATATCGAAAAATGAAATAATTCTTGCTAAATTTGTAATTAATGAAAAAAAGAAACTTTTTGAAAAAAAAAAAATAAATTAATAAATTCTCCAATAGAATAACTTGGTTGCAAGACGCCAGCTCTTTGAGCTTTCCTGTAAGTACAATCAAAGTTTTAAATCGGCTTAAGGTTCGATCGAAAAATGTACTACTGTTGGACTTGTTAAATTCAAATCACTGGAAAAAATGTTCAACCAAAAGTGCCTGTAGAAAGCATCCGCATAAGCGCGCTGCTCATGGTGCTTTTGCGGAAAAGTGTGTACAAACTTTCAAAGTGAATTGAAATAGTTTATTAAAATTATGTTCTCCAGAACATGTCCTTGGGCTTAACCGTTCCGATTATTAATCTTCGAATGCTGAAAAGATTGGAAAGACCGGAAGAGCATATTTGCTGTGTTGCAATAGACTAAAGCGAATTCTAGCAAATGCAGTGATCCTAATTTTCGCAACATGAAACCCATGCGGATGTCGAGAATTGTGTTCTTTCCATTAATTTTGTCAATCATTTGCTTTTCTAACACACTTTTTGAAGGTCAATGCGTTTCCGTTATTAGTCATATAATTAGAAAAAAAAAACGACAACTTTTCATTTACTTCACTTTATCTTTCGAAAATTTTTGTACATTTTTCTTTTTAATGCATCTATTAAAGTCAAGAACCAATTCAGTTCTTACAACTTTTGCAATGTATGCATAACAGGGATTTTTAAAATCCATAGTGAGACATAGAAAATTTTGACATGACTGCATTGAGACGTTCATGTTGGCAGCATTGTATTTAATTTGGTTTGTATTTGTGTTCTCACAGTCGCCATTTGTATTTAGTCTCAAGTCAAAATATTTTTCATGTATTGAGTGCTTTATAAGAAAAGAAATAATAAAATGATATTGAAATTGTGGCGGAATTATGTTGCTGCAGTGAAACAAATGCAATTTTAAATAAGAGAGGAGAGAAACGAAAGGAAAAATTAATCGCACCAGCAGTTAACAATAATATGGCACTCAAGAAATCAAAGGTGCGATCAAATCACAATGAATTCCACCTTTACGCAAAGCTGTCATAACTTCGAAATTTTGTGTCGGTCGAGGCAAACAGTTTGCAAATACGCAAAATTATCCTTATAAATAATTGAAAATTTCATTGTTTTTCCAAGTTTGTTTTTTTTCTTTTTTTTTTACACAATAGTTCTATTTTAAAGGATTGTGTTATCTTGGTGGTGACACGCGGCGGACAATACAGTTTATCCGTAATACAGACATTAAAATGCACAAATACAGGGGTTTACTGTTGATCTGATCTAAATAAGATGTATATCGTGTAAAAAGCAAAGCAAAATATTTCTTGGTTATCGTTAATGCTATTCATTGAAAAAAGAAAATTTTTTGAACTTTTTTTTAACACAGCATAACTATCTATCAAATATAAGCGTTTTCCTTAAATTTTGAACGCAACTACCATGAGCGAACGCGATATACCCAGTGTTCCGGTAACGACCTTAGCTGGATTAACTAGTCTGTCCGACTGTAAGTGTTAATACATTGAATTATTAATTTGTTATAAATTATTTATTATGATAAATTGTTATAGTACTGAGCGAATTGCCTGTTGCCGAATCTTTGGGCCATGCTGCATCACTTAATAGAACGCTTTTATTCCACACGCTAGTTGCTAGTGAATCAAAAAACTTGTTATCTGTAAGAGACGAAAATTTAACCCGTCAACTAGTTCACGCTATCGAGCAAACCAATTCGGATAACATGTAAGTAAAACAAAAAAATAAATAAATAAATAAAAATGATTAATCATAATAATGAGTTGTATTGACATTTGCACAATAATAAAAGTAAATAAGTTTTTAATAAGAATTTTCTGTTATAAATTGCCATTTTAGACAATTAAAGCCACAGTATGCTCTGCAGCAACATGGTGCCAATATAAGCACTTACCCAGAATTACTTCAAGGCATATACAACTTTCGACCAACAGTGTTTAATATTCCTCAAAATAATGGTATGTATGCGCCTAATGTTTAATATGCGAAGCATTTGGGTGTGTAATGAATTCCTTTTCCATTTTAGTAGTTGCACATCCTGCGCAAATAACTGCCCCACAAAATACTGTCCTAGCCAACACAAATTTACCGAGCATTGCGGTTTCATCTCACATCTCATCGCAACAGCAAAATGAACATCGACCGTATCCCATACATCAGCCGCAAGCTCATTCACAACCACTTCCACTAGTTCCACTAATCGATCAGAGGGTTACAAACAAACCAGCAGACTCTGCCAACTCCAAGTAAGCTTTCCACGGATAATTCTGTGCATAAAGATGTCATTCTTTTTCCTCGTTTTAGCTTAATGGTGAATACCCATGAAACTCAAACAAGAGAGATTATACAAAATGCACCTAATCTTCCACACGAAAATCCTATACCTAAGGAACAGACGAATTGTCTGCCGCCAGTCAATTTAGCAGCAAAAGCATTTAATAACAATTGTTCCACAATTAAAAATGTTCAGGAGACATCAGTACAACAGCAAGAAATAAAAATAGAAGAAAGCGAAATTGTACAAGCGACCCAGGAGTCGAAAGTGTGTGGAAAAGAAACAAGTGCGGTAGAAGCAGAAGCCGGCATCACTACAACGAAAGTTGAAAATGAAAATACGCCGTGTAACAATATCCAAACACAACTTGCTCCAATTCAGGGCAACTTTCAAAATGTGCTTAATTTGCATCGGCAACATTTCGGAGGAAATATTCAACAGCATAAGCAATTGGCCCCAGTTAATTCTAACATTACGCCGAGTGAAAAAGTGGTAAAATCTGAAAATGCCATATGCCAACCGCCGATAGGAAAAGAAACAACGAATAACAGTAGCCTGCAAACAACTGCTGACGCAACAATTACTTTACCCTTGTCGTCAGCGCAAGTTTGCCCCAATTCTGCGGACAAACCGAACAACAGCAATAGCGACAAGCCCAACCTTCGGGTATGTATAAATCGACTTAAAGCCGAGGACGTACGGCTAATGCAACAAAGTATTAAAACATTTATACAAAAGTCACCAGAGTTAGCAAAGAAAGTGGGTTTACTGACTACTGAATCCGAATTTAAATTGCTACCGCAACAAATTCAGTCTGTGACAAGTTGTGCTAATACCCCTGTGAACTCAGCCAACTGTGTGCCGAACGCGCCTACAACAGAGGCAGAGGAGAAGCGAATTACAAAGGACACATTCACAATTATGAAAGCTGATGAAAAGCAGAGCACGGCAAAACGTAAACTTCCGATCACAATAGATGATATTCCTCCCGATCAAATATGTAAGTAGCGTCGACAAACGTGATGCTTGGTGCATAACAATTCATTATGATTATTAATTTTGTTGGTCCTTTTAAAGTTTCGAAACCAAAAGTTAGACGTGTTGAACGCGTCATACCAAGTCACACGTCGAAATGCTCTAAAGACGATGTTTTACGCTCACAAACATATCAACAGTTTATGCGTAACATGGAACAAATAATCGAACTTCTGGACGATACAGAATCGCCCAATTTCGAGTCTGGTAAATAGCAAGTATTACGAACTGTGCCATATCTCTAACGTGGAATTTTTTTTTTTTCTTACTTTCTACTTTAAGACGACATCGATGAAAATATTGAATGCATCTCTTCAAAAATGCTTAATACGATGAGTAATGATGTCGCTAAACTTAAAGCGAAAAATGTCTTGGATCTGATACCGAAAAATAAATTAACACTCTTAATTAATTATGCCATGAGAAACATATATTTAGCAAAAAATTACTCCGCTGGACCGGTAAGCCAACATGAATAAAATGAAAATATACTGAATTGGTTAAAAAAATATATATATTCTAATTCCATGATTTCTTATAATTTCAGGATGACGAAGAAGAAATTATTGACGACGAAGTAATGGAAAAAATTCTTAATGGAATTGAATCCTGTCTGTTGATTTGCAATATTTATTCAACTGTCAATGATTTAAAGTTTCTACAGGAAGACAATATTTCGGTTATTATTAAATTTATGCAATTCCAGTTAAGAGAAACTATATTTCCATCGTACGATCCAGTTTATACTGTTAAAAATATGAAAAAATCCAGTAATCGTGGTAGATCGAAAGCGTATCAAAATCATAGCCGTAACCTGCATCTACTTTATTCAAAAGTTGTCGAGCTAATGAAGGTCTTTGTTATGTTGTTTGACAAATGCTTTTTCGTGGATACAATAGTTCTTCCTTTATCGACTTTGGCCATTGAACCATTTTTTGTGGATAATATTGATACGTTACAGTTTGTTTGTTTGGAATTAGTAACAACGGTAAGAACAACAGTAATTACATTGTATCTAATGAAAGAATCTATCGAATTTCAAGCGCAAAATGTCATAAAACGGACGATTGAGCCATACCCAACCCCTACAATTGTCTAAAAGTTGCTGCGAGTCGCCTAAAAGCTTGAATTGAACGGCAACTTGGTTGAGTGACTGGACGGTGCGAACAGCACCTTAAAGATCACAACATGAAAATCGTATTTTGATAATATATGTGACTTATAATTTACTGAGCATTTGCGAAAAAACGACAACTTTTGTCTCTAAATGAAAAAGAACTGGAAAATAGTCTATTCAAATGTCTACAGAATATACTATTCCCACTATATTGTAATTATGGATACGTCCGTGACAATGGGTAAAGCATTAGGTAGTCCAGAAAATAATGAACTTTTAAAAGACAAATTTTATATATTGATTTCACATTTGGGATCCGCTGTGAACAACCCAACGTTTCACTTCTTAATATTTGCAAGACAAGATTGTTTACATTGTACATTTATTAGGACAAATGTGGGCAAACCCGTCGTTACTCTCAAAGATCGAGTCATTTTCGTTTCATTTAGTAAAAGAGAACGTTAAAAACTCAAATATATAAATAATATAATCACGTGTTTACTCATTAAATAAATTCATTTGTTTGTTTGTTTTTAGATTTTTCGAAAGGAGCAGTACGAAAAAATACGAAGCAGCATACTTTGTGATATACTAGCGTCGATAGATCGTTTACCATCGTCAAAAAAGAATTTACGACCCTTCAAATTGACCAATAACGGCGGAAACATTCAAATGGTCACTGCCCTGGTTCTGCAGCTTATACAGTGCGCTACAATTCTTCCTGATGCGCTTTGCGTTACAGACAGTTCCAAGAATGTACAGATTAACGATAATGACATCTCAGAGAGTTCTTCCCGCATAAAAAAGCCGAACACTGATGTTGTTGTTCTTAAGAAATATGAAGTCGCTATTAGCATTGGCGGCAATTTTTTAACTACTTTTCTGAACAAATGTAAAACGCGATCAAATGAAACCGATTTTCGACCGCTCTTCGAAAACTTTATTCACGATTTACTGTCAACGGTGAATAAGCCAGAATGGCCAGCATCGGAATTATTGCTCTCTCTATTAGGAACTATGTTAGTGCGCTATGTGTCAGATAAATCGATCGAACAAAGCATACGTTTAGTATCACTGGACTATCTGGGAATTGTTGCTTCACGTCTGCGCAAAGATACCGTGGAATCTCGTTGCAAAGTGAACATTATAGATTCCATGATTAAATCGATCAAGCTCGAGCAAGAAAGAGAGGGTGATTTGACCATTACAAACGTAAGTGTAAATGCCAAAGCCAGAAAATCGTTTCAGCTAAGCAGATGATGATATAAATGTTTTTCTTTTTAACAAAATGTAGAACAAAATTGAAGTGGATCCAGAAGAAGAACGAACAGAGTTCCTACAGAAAATTCTCTTGGATTTTTTAGCGGTTAACGCGCAGGAAGAAAATCTCATTTGGGATTATGCGAGGCACTTTTATTTAGCTCAATGGTATCGAGATATCATTTGTCAACGTAAAAGAATCGCAGAAGGCGATAAGCATTATGCGTCACGAAAGAAAACCAGTAAACGCAAAAAGCATCGCAAAGGTAAATTCTCTTTTAGTAAACGGACTGATAAAAAGACGAAGACTGTTGTGTATCGCAATAACTAATCATAATAATTCATTATCAATTAGGATTATCTTCCACATCATCGGAGAGTGATAGTTGCAACGAAAGTGGTGAGGATGGTAGAATACCAAATGAAAATAGTCGCCGCACTGATATTATCGATCAAGAATTAAATCTGGAGATTTTCAATATATTAGAACAGCGAAAAGCTTTTCTAATCAGCAAAATTAAACCGTACAGCTTATCGAATGATATAAGCCACGCATCACATATCAAAACATATATAGATTACACTAATGCCCATCTGATAGCTCAATATCTGGCGACTAAAAGGCCCTTTAGTCAATCATTTGATGGTTATTTAAAGAAAATCATACTGGTTGTAAAGTAAGTATCTTTAATAATCAAAATGTATTTTATATATTTAAGAAAAAATTATTTTTTTATGGTTTTTTGCTTTTAGTGAACCGTCAATCGCAGTCAGAACGAGAGCTATGAAATGTCTAGCAAATATTGTCGAAGTAGATCCCTTTGTACTTAAACGTAAAGACATGCAAATGGGTGTAAATCAAAAATTTTTAGATGCAGCGATTTCGGTGCGCGAGGCAGCCGTCGATTTAGTTGGAAAATTTGTCTTAAGCAATGAGGAGCTTATCGATCAGTATTATGATATGTTGTCTACACGAATTTTGGTATGTATTTTACTCCATTGTTTATTTTTGATTCAATTGCTGTTTCTCTATTATTTTATGGTACCGTATACCGTTTATATTACAGAATATATTAATTTTGTGCGGACGTATGCAACACCCAGAAAGACTTGAGATAGACCCACTTTTTATTATGCCAATCGATTCAGAATCACTATCTTTATCGATCTAAGCATGTCGGTCTGTCTGTCTGTCTGCCTGTCTATCTGAGATTTATTCATTTTCCCGTTTGCCCCATCGGTCGCAATTTGTGAGACATCTTGAGGAGATTTGGTACAAATAATTTGGCTTATAGACGAACGCTATCGAAAATGCTCGGATCAGTTAACTTTTTCGAGCTCTTCCTATAAAACGCATTATTTTCAATGGTCGGCCCGAAGGATAACGAGGATACCTTTGTTTTCTAGAAACGTTTGCAACGCCCGAAAGGAAGCTTCAGAGTACCCCAAAAAGTATAAATATTCTTGATCAGTATTAAATTCTGAATCGATTTAAGCATGTCCGTCTGTCCGTCTGTATATTTTTTGTTCCAAATCTAACTGCAAAAATGAAGTTATCGACTTCAAATTTGAAACATTAGAAGTTCTTGCACGCAGGTTGGTTTTGAAAATGAGCTAAATCGATCGAGGGACATGCCCACGGCACTACGTACACTGACAGCATCTCTGTTTTTGAAAAGCAATAAAAAATGAGTATATTGCTCACTACTCATAAACAGTAGAAGACAAATATACGAAAGTTTGAACGCATATTTTATTGACCACGCTTACCCAATCTACAGTGCCCTTATAAGGCGCGGAAACAAACTTCACAATCCCCACAAAGTATATAAATTCTTGGCCAGTTTCACATAGGAAATACGCCTAAACGTGTTCGTCTGTCCGAACAGTTGCGTAGCGTTTGTGGCAAACATTAAGATATCGTCAAAAATTTGCAAAGGAATTTCGAAGTGACTTCAACTTTCCCAAGCACACGCCTACAACGCTCACACGCATATGTGATAGCTTTTATTTTGAAAATAGATAAATTCGTTCGCGTCCACTACCTATTATACAGCATGAAAATATAGTCTTTTTTACTTTTCCTGTCTTTTTTAGGATAAAAGATTCCGTCACGACCGAATAAAATTTTCTTACTTGTTTATTTTGTTTTTATAAATTTTTTTGTCTTATTAAAGGATACCGGAGTGTCAGTACGAAAGCGAGTTATAAAAATTCTCCGTGATATATGCATAGAATATCCAGACTTTAAAAAAATACCAGAAATTTGTGTTAAAATGATAAGACGTGTCAATGACGAAGAAGGCATTCAAAAACTTGTAACCGAGGTTTTCATGAAAATGTGGTTTACTCCGTGCAATAGGAATGATAAAGTATGTATCTTATTAAGAGACCATTAAATGTGTGAAATTAAGAGATTTCTTCTAACCTATAGCATGGGATTCAGCGGAAAATCAATCAAATTATCGATGTTGTTAATACTGCGCACGATACTGGGACAACTTGGTTGGAAGGTCTCTTAAATAGTGTACGTATGTTTTTATTGATTAAGTTAATTCAAAATGGATAAATTAGTTTAGAAAAGACTTGGCAATCGAAAAAGTAATGAATTAACAATTTTCATTACATTTTATTTCTTTTAGATATTTCAACCCAAAGAAAATATGCTCAAGACGGATGGTAATACGCAAGATCCTGTGAAAAAGAATACAGAACCACCACAAGAAATTGTTCTTGCATGTCAACAATTAGCAGATGGTCTTGTTGATCGTCTTATTGAATTAGAGGATACTGACAATGAACGTATGCTAGGTTGCATAACAACGCTTCATTTATTGGCTAAAGTCCGTCCACAGTTACTAGTGAGGCATGCAATGACAATCGAACCATATTTAAATATCAAATGCCACCCATCGACAGCGCCAAAATTTATATGTGCTGTGGCGGATATATTAGAAAAGGTAATATTTTATTACTTTAAAGAATTACTTTTATTAAAATTTGTAAACGAGGGCCTTTGGTCCTATACATTCCTTGCATACATATAGTGATATGATGATATGAATGATAGAGGATATGAAGAAGTTGATCTTCATTTAAAGTTAAGGGATGATGCTTCGACAATTTATTTATCTATTTTTTTTTTTTTTTTTTTTTTGCCTATCAAAGAGTGCAATTTTATGGGGACAATTCAAAATTCAAAGTATTTCTGCTAATTTTATCTGTGGCTTCATAACAACATTTCCTATTGTTTGATTGATTAGCTTTAACAGCTTTGATGGATTTTTTCGAAGAATAAAAAAATCTTTTACTAAAGTCGCCGCTATTTTTTTTTTAAATCAACCGTTAAAATTAATAATACAATTTAATGGAAATAAGAGGGAAGTTATAAAATGACTTGTTAAATTGCAGGTTGTACCGCTTGTAAACAACGCAAGCGAATCATTTTTAGCGTCGCTGGAGGAACACTTAATGCTTCTTGTTGTATCGCTAAATCAAGCCGTCGTATCGAGTTGCGTTTCGTGCTTAGGAGCTGTCGTGAATAAGATAACAAAAAACTACAAACTTATACGCGATTGCTTTCAAAAGTAAGTGCCATCATTTCTTCCGTATATGAATTTATTAGATTTAATTACCGATTAATGCGTTCTTTTGTAGATTCTATCGCATACTAGATTACAGTAGAAATCAAGTTGTTAAAAATAATCATAGTATAGATGAAATTTATACTCCAATGTTTCGCCGAAGTTTATTTACAATTGGAATTTTAATGCGGTACTTTGACTTCAAAGCTCCCCACGTAATTGGTTCGTATACATATAGACCTTTAAAATTGAATAAAGAAATTTAATGTTATATTATGGTTGTGGATGATTTTCAAAAGGGGATGCAAGCGGCGGCGGATTTTCAGTAACAATTTGTGATGATGCGTTCGAATGTTTAATGTTTTTTACACATTGTTCAAATTGTGAAATTCGAAAGCAAGCACTCATAGCCTTGGGTTCGTTCTGCGTTATGAATGATGATTACTTAATAAGGTCAGAACTGAAGCAATTCTACTGTGATATACTACGTTCAGATAAAACGGAACCTGGTATTAAAATTATTTGTATGCGCAACATTTGGATTTACCTAACAGAGTCCGAAATGTGCATGTACAATAAAGAAAAAGAATGTAAGTATATGTATGCAAATCCATAAATTTGCATTGTAGTAGGAATGTATATTAGAAAGCAATGTATATTAGATTTCTCATTCCCTAGCAATGCCCGCAAAAAAACATTGCAATATATATATAAATATATGTGTCAATCTTAGTTCTAAGTTAAGTATGTATGTGCTTCTGTCCGTCCGTTTAGACTTAAACGGTGACGAGCACCTTCTCAGTATTGCAGATGGAGTTTGGAATAGATACAGTTTTTTGTACGCACACTCTCACATAAAAAAAAAATTATGTTCAACAATTTTACGCAATTGCTTAAAAAGCGTCATTTTGCAAAAGTTATTTATTTATCTGTAGTTTTTCATTAATATTATCTTAAAATGATAATATGGTCCCAATTAGCTCACAAACCTCCGATTGGAAAAATAAATTTGTTATGAAAAATTCCTTCTTAGATGAATATGACTCTTCTATTTTGGAAAAATCTTTTTCACTATTAATTATAACATTTCCTTCTGTTTCGCTATTAAAGGGGAAAAGCAATGCAAGAATGAAGACTTAAAAGAGATGAATGACGTTTCCTCCGGTATGGCTAGTCGCATAATACAGTTATATCTTCAAGAAATTCTTGATTGTTTCCTAAATCGCGACGACGCAGTACGGCTATGGGCTGTTAAAGTTGTACAAATTGTTTTAAGGCAAGGTTTGGTCCATCCGGTGCGTATGGTACCGTATTTAATTTGTCTTAGTACAGATTCCAAACTAGAGGTACGATTGGCTTTTTCTTGGTTTTTCTCGCATGGTGATAATAAAGCCTTAACATAATGAGTTTCTTCTTTCAGTCGGCACATAGAGCGGATGCTCTTCTCAAAGATATCGATAAAACGTATTCAGGTTTTGTTAACATGAAAGTCCAATTCGGTTTGCAGTTGTGCTTCAAATTACAGGAATTACTGCAGTGCAATAATAAAGGAAAAGTTGGGAACATTATTCGTGGATATGTGTAAGAGCGCTTATATAATAAATTATGTGCATGATTTATAGTTCAACAACTGAACGTATACTTAAGTGTATATGTACGTATGTAAATAAATTTATAAACGCAAATGCATATATAAAAGGTTATATATATGAGACGATTGGCTTAAAAGAGAGTGAATGGTGTTTTTCAAATTTTTTTTTTGGCTGTTCCATTTTATGCAGCAAATATAGTTTTACTCTAAATCTGGCACAAATAGAATAAGAAGCAGTAACAACATGAAATGATATCAATTATTATAATCATGTCAATAAGAGTTTTTAGAAAAGAATAGCGTCTCAATTAATTTGACTTCTTTTTAGAAAACGGGAATCAGATGCAATGCCAACAGCTTTAAATGACTTCCTCTACACACTCCTGCGAACCACAAAACCTCAAAGGCGTGCATTGGTGCAAACAGTTACTAAACAATTTGACGATCAGAAAACTCAATTACGGCAAATGCTTTACATTGCTGATAATATGGCTTATTTTCCGTTTGTTGTTCAAGACGAGCCCTTGTATCTTATACATCAAATCGATTTACTCATTTCAATGGCTGGTACCAATATCTTGGCCACATTTAAAGAATGCCTAAAACCTGGAGAAAATTCAGGTGATATATTAGAAGATGATGATGACGAAGAAGACTCTGCGGTGCTATTTAAACGTTTGCCTGACAACACTTTGGAGATAGAAAAGTGCATTACGTCTGCACAAGCTTGCATGTTGCTTTTAGTGCTAAAAGAGCATTTGAAAGACATGTACAGTCTAACAGATAGTAAAATATCACGCTACTCACCGTCGGAAACGAAACTATACGAGAAAGCTGTTACTCGGAAAAATGTGCCAGATTTTAATCCTAAGACGACAATAGATATAATCAAAAAACAACAAGATCAAATTAATGCCGCCTCAAATGATGTTGCAATTAAGCCTTTAACCGATGAAGAGAAAATGGATCTAGTTGTCAAATATTTAGATGTAAATATAATTTATTAAATGCTGGTAAATTAAGATAAAAATTTTTACATTTATTACATGCTCGCTATAACTTCAGTTTAAGCAACTTATGTTAAAACTTGATCCAGATGATGTAGAGTCTGAGGAAGAAATGTACGATAAATCGAAACTGAATAGCACTATGTTAACTGATATTACGCCAACAACATCAGTACTGAATTCAACTGGAGCATATCAATCACCAAATGAAAGCGGAGCAAGTGGGACTATTAATATGGCGAACCTGTCATCGCCTAACTTTGGCAATAGAAGCAAAAATCACATATTTTCAACACCTACGCCGATAAAAGTAAGTACTTTTGAAATTTTGGGAACAAGTCAAGCTATATCTGGCATGAAAAAAAAAGGTTGCGCGATAAGGAAATCAATTGTTTTATTTTTGCCGAAAAAGAGCGTTAGTTACGCATAACAAATTTCACCGTAAAAAAGTATTAAGAAGTACCAACAGCTCATTTCAATTCTCAAAATTAGAATTAGCGAGAATATTTTTTACCTAGACTACCTCTCCTCTGAAAGCATTCTGTCAAGTAAAAATGAAAACAAACTCAAACAACAAATATAAATGCAATTCTCATCGGAGACAAATATGCAATGAGACTGAAAGTAGAATTATATGAATCTTAAATACCCATCGTTCAAATAATATTCTTTTTCTTTTTTTTTTTTGTTGTTTTATAATCCTCCGTTTGTTATTTATAACGATTCGGTGCCAACATGGAAACTCCGAGTTGAGGCATCGATTAATTCTGCATATCGTCATTAAACTCTACGCGTACATTTTGATTCGATAACAATGCAATATAGTGCGCTTAACATTGTTGCATATTCGAAACGACAGCCTTCACAAGTGACATGGGCATTAAACAAGAAAGAGTAGATTAGGATATGTGTTAATCGCAGGTTAAACAGAACGCGAATTTTATTAGAAATAAAATAAAAGCTTTCTTAAATGATGTTTTATTCTAATGGACCAAACGGCAGAAAATGTATTTTATTCTCAAAATCACTTTTATATGACTATATAAAAAGAAAAGCTTGCGGCAGTTCAAAGGGTGGAAATTCTTACACAATAAAATCTCAATTAATATACACATGTATATGTTTGTCACAAACAATGTAATTAGCTTAACATAATCCTTACCTTTTTTAGTGGTTTCCCAGTTGTCAACAACCGGTAGTTGATGTAGTTTTTAGATATTTAGAGGCGGGTGACCCGGGCGAATATGGAAACATTAATAAATCCTGAGCTAAACTAAAACTGATAAAATGGAATCTGTTATATCGTAAAAAGATGCTTGAACTCTTTTCAATCACTTGTAAGCAGTGCTGATCACTCTTACGTAAAACCCCCAAAGTAGCACCTGTAGACTATTGCTCCGGCCAAAAATAGTGTTGCTGCGTGGAATTCTCTATATATGGTAAAATGTGAAGAACTTTCAATTAATGGTGATTTAAATAGGACAACAAGGCTAAAAATCAATAATCAGAAATACTACCACTAACGGCCACATTTTCATTACTGGTTTCGTCAGTTCAATGTTATTTTAAGTGTGAAGGATTAAATTATTAAAAAGTTAAATAATTTAATAAGATTAAAGAAGATCGTTTGTCACCTGTAATGGCGAGATCCTATTATACGCTATTATTTTAAGTAATTTTGAGTAAATTGTAATTAAAACGAAATAAAAAAATATGTTAACTAAAAAAAAAATAAACAATTATAGTCGAACCAGGCCCAATACATTACATTACTTCGCCTAGAGATGTCTTAACTCCTTTCAAATTCTTTTTATGGGAAGCTCTAACTGAAAGAGAGTTGAAAACAAGCGAAATTAATTTTCTTGTCAAAGACCTTAGTATCGTTCGAATTTATTCGCCATAAAGTACTAAAAGGGAGGCTTTCTGTATATAAGGTTTATTTGGAAAAGATAAATTTCTATTCCAAATGAGCGTTATGGATCAATTTCGTTCATAAACCCCTTGACTTATAAAGACTCAATTTTCGATTATGTGGTACGCGGACCCAAAATATAGTCTATCCGACGAAAAATTCTCCCCATATATTTTCTATGCCAAAATACTAATTTCCTACCGAATTTTGTCGACAAACTATTAAAAATTGCAATTTTTTCCTTTAAGGAAATGATTACTACGGATATTATGGAGCAAGGTGATGACAGCAGTAGCCCTTCAGTCAAGTTATACATATAATTATGTTATAAACTCTCTTATACAAATAGTTGCAATAATAAATAAATAAATAAGGAGTTATTGCAAATGAAGCGTTATATCGGAAGCGGCCGTTAAAACGGTCCGAACCAATCGATGCGTTTTTCTTTGGGTCAAAATGCATCAATGTGCCATATATTGTCAACAATTCGATCCGTATCTTGAACACAAAAATACATAGACAGGCTTCAGTCGGGTAGACAGACACATAAGCTTAAAATGATTCAGAAAATGGGATCGCTATAATGAAAACTGAGTCTAACAGAAGTTCTTCTGGGTGCCACATACATCGGCACATACCTAAAATACTCTGCACTGCAAGTGGTGTGGAGTTTAAAAATGAGCTAATAAACGTTTGACGTCAGATTTAATTGACGATATATTTATCTTATTCCAGGAGTCACCTGTCACACCGACATCACGGACAACTCGATCCGTAATAGTGGCTAAACCTACAGCAATACGGAAGGCTGCTCACAAAGGCAAGCGCAAGAAACGACGAATGATTTCATCAGATGAGGACGACGATGAGTGCAGTGACATTGACGAATATGCGTGAAAACCCGCTTAAATACCTGTTTCTAATAATACGAGATAGATAAATGTACATATATCACAGGTTCACGGATCGAACAAACATCAATGATTTTTGTCATTCTGCTTCGTTTTAATTTTATATATTTTTGTACCAATTTATTCCACAATATTTATAATAATTTAATGAGTTTTAATTAGGCATAAAATTTGGAGGAAATATTGAGATTTTTGAAATGCATTACAATATGCCAATCATGAAAAATTTAATATTGAGAAAATTAATTTATAACCCAAAAAAAAAAAATATATATATATTTTAGTAGAAAGAATATTTCACATTTTTCGCATTTCGTTTCTCCACCACAGCTTCAGTCATCATGATTTCAAAGAATATTTAGCAGTGAAAGGACGCTAGAAGGAGAATTGCACAAAACAAACTCGTTCGATATATATATATATATTTATATATATCGCTTATCATGTTTTATACGAAACTTTAAATTAGATCAAGAGAAAAAGATTAGTTTTCTAAAATAAGTAGAAAAGTGAGAAATAACACTATTATTGATTTAATAAACTGATATTTGAATATAAGTATAAATATACAAATCGTATATATAATATATATGTATATATATGTATATAGGTATTTATATATATATATATATATATATTTATATATATATATTTATTATATATATATATATATATATATATATATATTCAATAGAGATAAGTTCATTTGAATATATATTTTTGTAAAAACCGCAACAAAATAAAATTGATTTTCATTTTGTTAATCATGTTTCTAGTTTGTTAATATTATATAAACTTTATTTATTTAGATAAATGAAATCATTGAGTAACGTGTAAATAGTAATATAATGAAAGGATATAGAATACATTTGGTTATACACAAAGCCACATACACACAAGTAGAATATTTGCTAATTGTACACATTTTCAATACCTAAAGTAGTAGTAAAGTCGAATAAAGTTACGTAATATATGTAAGATTATGCATATATATATATATATATATATATGTATATATATATGTATATATTAATAAACACACTATTTCACTCATATAAGCAGTTAAAGTATTAATTAATTAATTATTTTAGTTGTCATTTAATGTAAGCTTCTATTCAAAATTATGAAAAAACAAAAACGTAAAACTGAAATATTGTTTTTAATTTTTTTCTTTTAAAGAACGAACGTACAAACGTAAAGAAGGTAATCATCACATTTCCAAAACTGCATGCAAATAGGTTACAATGATGGAATGCTTGCATAAGGTGCAGATTGCTGTGTTTGACATTTTTAATATATATATATAAAAACTTGCCAAAATTCCTTGCATTTTCCATTATGAAATGACCAAATGATTTGTAGTGATTTGTCTCGCGTCCAGGTTCCTCCGTATTGGTTCAGGCGTTCTCGGCGCATCAGTCTCGTCCGTTTCAGGTTCACAAGCTTTGCAAATTATAATTACCTTTACTCTACAGCACTTCACGCACGATTTTCCTTTTCCTTAGAATGAGGAAACATTTGTATCTTCTGTCTCCCTCCAATCGCTTCCTGTTAGCATATTCTCTATAGGTTGTAAAACTTTATAACACTCTTTACTCATTTAATTACGAAAGGATGAGAGATTCCTTAATGTAACCTTCGATCGGTTTGTTTGCCACTACTTTAAATTCCTTTTCAATTTGAAGTGAATACTGCTGGAAATCGGTAGTACTTTTTAAAATTTCTCTAACTTCTTCATTGCCTAGTTGCTCGGGAAAACTGATTTCTGCTTGAGGCATTTTGCTTTGTAAAATTTATGAATTTTGAAAACCTGTACTACATTACATTCACATGTGACAGTTACATGTGCATACGTATTAATTTTCCTAAAATCACTTAAATAATCAAAAAAATTGTTTTTACTATTGTTGCTCACATAAACTATTATAATTTTTAAAGTTGCTGATGTTTAACATTAAATGCTTATTTTGGAATACTTAAAGGAGAGAATGTTATTTTATATTCTAATTCAGATTGAAAAAGGCGAACATGGGCCCTTCAGACTTCAAATTTATTTTAAATTGAATTGAATTGAAGCAACGTCATAAAAGTATACATACATGTTCATTTTATTATTAATTATAATACGTTTATAATGAATGTTTACGGTTTTAAAAAGGGTAAAAATCAAATGCATGTAGACATATTGGCCAAATAGTAAATTTAGGATAGCAGTCGACGTATTTCCTCCTTTTCGGCAGCCTCGATATAGCTTTTTCCATCGGGAGTTTTGCCGTTTTGCTCAGCACCCTTAAATTAATTAAAATCAGAATTAAGTAATAAGCAGACTTTGAATATTATGAATATTATATGTCTTAGAATAAAAAATATAATATTTTGCCAGCTTAAAATGGAACCTAAGAGCATTGTTAAGTTGCGATTAAGATTTAGATGTTTCCATTTTTTTAAAACCCGATACCGCCTAGCAGCCGCTTGAATGTCAATTAAATAATCACTATTAGCAAACTACTTTTGCAATTCTAATGGGTTTTTTATATTCGTAAGAATCAGGGGAAAATATACAACATCTTTAAGTTTGGTTGAAATAAGCTCTGGTGGCACATATTTTTTATTTATTGACGAATACTTCTGTTACTCTTTCTATAGAGCTTCAATTTCTGCATGTATTTATTCGCACTTGGTTGATGAATACATTACGTTTTGGCGAATTAACTGCGAATTTTCCTTTGAACGTATTCCTCGTAAATAAATGTTAGAGATTAAAAATAAGAACAAAAACTTATGTATTCCGAAGGCATTCCTAGACATAAGAGTATAATTTTTTAGTAGCAGTTGACATCCTCTGCAAGATACAAGGTCACAACAGTTTCACTACTTTGCATAATTCGCCATGTTAATAATTTTTATCGTCTTACTCGCTCCACATTTCTCCTTCAAATAAGAAAAGTAGTCCATATTGCAGGAGTACAAGCGTAGAGAATGAATACATTTGCTTTACTAAATACGTGATATTCTTAATTAAGAAATGTTTTCTTACTTAGTAAATTGCATTATATTGTTACCAGCAATTAAATGATTTTTAATAATTAAGACAGTCGAGTTTAGGATATGGCATAAGCGTTTACGTTTCAAAATAAAATTGAAAAACTAAGTTCACGTTAAAGTCGGCGGTTGGAAACAACTACGCAAATGTATTCGAATATTAACTTGACTCCGCTTAATGGTACTTAAAATTCGCTATTTTTTTGCGAAATAAATTCACTTGGGAATCGCTAATCTGATTGGCAGACATAGATCGGATATCAAAAAATGTTGACTTACTTTCTCCAAAAGCAATTTTACGCATTTTGTATGTCCCTCCCAAATGGCGGCCAGTAAAGGAGTTATACCATGTTTGTCCATAATCTACATTTAAATATTTAAATCCAAACGCATACAACAAATATTGTGTTGATATTTTAAAACTTACATTAATATTGGCTCCTTTATTAATCAAATATTCCAAAACGTCGTACTGCCCGTAGTCAGCGGCGTAGTGTAAGGGATATCTACCATTTAATTCTGAATTTATGTCGTGCGACTGAAAGGAGTGTTAACATTATTTATATATAAGAAATCAAAACAATGATATCTTATTGCGATAAACGCAGTAAATATCAAGCCAGACGAACGAAACTTTCACTTTTCATTGCTCTACCTTTGCTTCCAACGCAAGTTGTACTTGATCCAATTCACCATTCTTAATGCTCCAGACTAGGTCCGACATAATTTTTTGAAAAAGGACACCCAACAATTAGTTAATCTCTTTTTAATAAATTATTTTTCGCTGTTTGTATTCTTAGAAATGGCCGCAATATTATTAGACTTCTACTGCAATCGATAACTTTTAAACAGACACAATTTGAAACGAATTATCGATAGCTTAACACCTGTAAATGTCACATTTGTATATTTTGATGTCTATATTAAGTACTAATAAAATCTTTTTTCTTTATTTAACAAAATAAATCATCTGTTGTGGATTTGCTGAATAGAGAAGAAGAAGATATCATATTATGAAACATGATTTTACAAAGATTAGTGAACGTTCTCCTTGTGACGAAAGACTTCGGCTATAATAAAAGTGTACTAAGGAAAATAGTGTTGACAAAATATCCTTTATTAGCAGGCCACTCGAAATGGGCGAATATAAAACATATCAAGGCAGAAAAAGATGGGCAAAAAGCTATGGCCTTTTTGAGAATAGCTCGGCAGCTACGTCTCGCGATTCAAGAAGGCGGTAGCGTAGATCCAGTACTCAATTCGAAATTGCGAAACGTTATTGATGATGCACTTCGAAAAAATATGCCGATGTCAAGTATCCAAAGTAGTATTAAAAAGTGCCAGCAAAACAAAACGGAACTAAAGAGATACCGCCTCGATTTGCGTTTTAAGCAAAAAGTTTTCATCGTTTTGATTATTTACACCGATAATTATTCTGGTCTGAAACAGGAGATTGCACCAATATTAAGAAAGTCCGGGTAAGTGATAAAACTTAACTTGTTCCTGATTTTAAAATGGGTACTTTCAAAATTATTTCTAGCGCTATGGTCATAGATACGAATAACTTGTTTGAAGAGTATGGTCTTATAGAAGCTACCGTCAGTGAGGAGCGTTTAGTTTCATCAAAAAATATTGAGGAGTTAGCTACAGAAGATGCCATCGAATGTGGAGCAGAAGAAGTTGAAGTCTCTGATGCCGCTGCCGGGCTTGTTAATGTAAGGCGTTTAGAAGCGAAATCTTCGAATGCTGAGAATACTGAACTTCCATGTTTCTATTAGTTTATTTGCAGACCTGAAGAGTTGCTTTCCTTGCGGAAATCGATTGAAACAAAAAACTATATCATCGAAAATATGGAACACATCTATACGCCCGTGGTACATTTAATTGTCGATATTTTTTTGCTTATTGCTTATTCATTTGTTATATTTAGAAATATGTGGAGTTGCCTTCAGAGGAGCAAGCGGGCTATGAAAAGTTTCTTGCGAAGCTTCATCAGATTCCCGGAATAGAAGAGATTTATGACAATTTGTTGGATACAAGAGATTAATAAATTTAACATAAAAAACTACTATGAAAGAAAACAATTATATTATTTTCATTTCATTTTCATATTTGCAACATCGCTAAGATATCTGCTTTAATATAGCTTAATCCTTACAAGATGGTTCGATTAAGGCTAATATTGACGTTGATCAGCAGAAAACCTGGCTTTGTTCTCATTTTCATTTAGGCCGTATGCATTATAAAAACACTCGAGAAAATGCGCATATTCTTGATAAAACCTTCCTTAAATGAAACTTAACTGTAAAAACAAAATAATTAAGAGCTTGGTTATTTGAGAAATGGTTATTTAGTGTGCTGAAAAGGAAAGGATGTACCGAAACGATCGCAGAGGGTTTCTTTATACTGTTTCTTAGAGCTCTACAGAATAATTTCTCTGTCTTTTTCGTAATTGGAAGCCGTTATGTACTTCGTTCTGTAGTACATTCAGACTCTCCAGACTTACGCACTTAAAAGATATTCAAAGTTATTATTATTATTATTATATTAATTTTAGACTAATGAATTGAATTCTTAGACTAAAAAAAGAGACATTGAGCACTAGCAACACAGGCTATCGGCTCTAATTTAAATAAATGGATATTAGATAATAAGCTTAGTAGTATTAATAAAGAAAAAAATTTGAATTGATATTCTGTTCTGAAGTTGATTGTAGAATGTTCAAAGGGTTAATCGTTCCAAATGCAACACTTCTAGCCAAGGAAAAGTTGAGGCAGTCGCAGAGAATGTGCTTTATAGTAAGAGTTTGTTCACAACAGCAGATTGGGGGAGAAGACTTCTTCAGGATCCATTGGTGAGTTGCAATTGTATGACCAAGGCGAATTCTCGAAAATGTTTGGATCTTGGTTTTCTCAACATTTGTTGGATATAGAGGTGGAGTTAATTGAGGGTTAATGCAAGAGTAGTGTTGATGATGGTATTGTAAATTTCCTTCTGCAATTTTCTCTTTAACTTTTCTTCCAATGTATCTTTGAAGATCCAACTTTTCCATGACATCATCTATAATTAGAGGAGCAGAAGCAGCATACTTTGCCGCTCGATCAGCCTGCTCATTTCCCAGTAAACCGATGTGACTTGGTACCCATAACATTTTTATTTTTCCGTCGGGTGTAGTAATTATATTCCTTAATTTGTTGTTGGTGCTCCATCTCGAAATCGAAGGGTTCCGGGTAGCTAGTAATACAGACAAACTGTCAGTAAAGTTATTTTAAAAACTATCACTATAATGTTGTGTTCTGTGTTCCATGGAAATTAGGCGATTATGCTTATCTACCTCTTGTCAGTTAATTTGTGAATTCTAGTAATCTGTCGTTCGATTAGTATATATTTAGTTTTGGAATAAGTCTATAGCCTTATAAATATTAAACTATACATATAAATATCCAATAAGGGGTGAGTAAATGATCGTCTCTTTTCAAGAGTTCCATCTCCTCTCAATAAAAGTTAAAACCAAGTGGAAAAACTGCTACAGTCATTTTACCAGAAATTGAGCAAATAATTCAAGTTTCCTTTTTCATGTGCAAAATTAAGTTAGCTAATTAACAATGGTTGACTTCCGAAAAAAAAGATACCACTATGTAAGTGTTTTATACTGTGCTGCGAACACGCAGTAGTTCTTTTTATACAGTATTTTTATAATAGCCGGCAAAAGATACGTTTTCATGTGAATCGTTACGGAATTTTGCAACGTTGTAAAATTTGTTTGCATTTCTATAAATTTGTAAATTTAGATTTGGTTTTATAAATTAACTATCATAAATGGAAGGTTATGAGCAAGTTTAAAAAAAATTGTAAGAATTAGTAAAAAGCATAGTCTTATGTCGTGCAATTAAAAGTTGCGAATATGGCTTTAAATGGATTTTTGGAATTCTTTCAAAAAGGAAAGGTACAAATGTGAATTGAACCTTTTGCATGAACATGAATATGTATATACTCTTGTGTGAGTTGTTTTCTTATTAAGCACCGAAGATGTATTTTATAAAAGTTAATAAGAATTCATTTTCAGAATTGAAAAATATTGCGCTAGATTTCAAGATTTACAGTGAGTTATTGCAATTTTCTCAAATTTTAACAATGCTGGAGAATCCTTTCGCATATCTTTTTGATAGAAAATTTATGCGAGTTTTTTATTAGAAACGCAGACTATTATATACATCACAAATTACGCCCCTATTTATTGATGTTGAATTGAATGGCTTAGGTAGATTTCTCAACTGTATTGCAGGGCTAAAAATTTGTTTTTCCATTTAGTATCGATCTAAACTACTAATAATATTTACTGAGTGCACCATCGTATAGGTGAAGTTATATTTTAATATTAGTAAATAAAAACGAAGCGTCTCCATTGGTATATGTATAGTACGGTACATATAAAATACATGTTTATAATATATTCTCATGTCACTTTTCATTAATTTCATAATTAATTTTTTTCTCAGCAATGTTTGTAATATATAGTATTTTGCTATTTCAGACCTTCCGTCCTAAAAAGCGCTTTACTGCTGGTACTATTCGATACTCTTTGCACAAACAAGCGCAAGCTAGTCTACAATCTGGAATAAATTTAAGGCAAGTTGTGCGTTTACCTGATGGGGAGAATCTAAATGATTGGGTTGCTGTACACGGTAATATATTTTATAACTCTGTCGAATTCTATAACAATTCAACAGGTTGCAGCCGACTTATTGAAGCACACAGGGAAGACATCAATTTTGCAAATTATTCAACAGGACGTTTTATTTTACGTTAAGAAATACTTTTTCAATATGGGGAATATGATGTTCGGATTAATGAACGCGAATATTTCAATAAAGTACGACAAAATCAAAAGATTACAATTAATACGAAAAAAAAATTATTAGATACCTTAATTAGACAGAAAAATTGAAACAATCATTTCTTCCTAAGCTTGAGGCTATTGGGCTGGGATTGACAAAAGCGATTTCTTAATGAGTTATCAAGTAATCAGGTCTTTCAAATTGTCATTGCTTACATAAATTCGCAATAATATAACTTATCTTTTCTCTCACTTCTCCGCAGCATGAACAATGTACACGATGCAACATGCTCATGAGTCACCTGCAAAACTTTGCTACCTCTCACCTTCGTCAGCTCGAAACCTAACTGAAAAAAAGCTATTGACATAATAGTCAGCGTTTTACACGCTACACCACTTGAGGTACAAAGGTATATTAAGTTTGCATGGATGTATGCAACAGCAATTCAATCTGCAAGCCACAATTCTATAAATGTTTAGAGGAAATTTGGTACACTGACATGTTTTAGTTCATTGACGGGTGTTACTGAAAATGGTTCCGATCGGATAAATTTTTCGACCACTTCCTATGGGATACCTTCTTTTGAAAAATAATTGTATGAATAATAGTGGTAGTTAGTAGTGAACTTCGGCCCGTTATAGTTGATTTACTTATTTTCATCACATAATAAAGACAACTAGCAGTTGCGAATAGTGAAAACGGAAATCCTCTATTACGAATTTATCATTCTGTTAGACTATTATAGTTTCGAAGCAAAACATCTGCGTGTGGGGCGACAGAATGCATCAAACAATACAAAATTTAAAGCTTACACATAACACAATAAAAGGTCATTAAAAAAATAATGAGATTTGATATACAGCAGTTTGAATGTATGTAACAATTGTTCTATATATTTGAAAGCTCATATTCAACTATCTCAGAAGTGCTTCTCAAGATTTGATTAAAGCCCTTGCTTCCAATAGTAAGAAATACGACATTTTTCTCCGCAATTTATATAATTAATTAAACGAAATTTCATTTTACAATATTTTTAGTTGTAGATTTTTTCAATCGAATCAATTTAATATATGGGACGGTTTCCGAATATTGTAACGAAACAACGTGCCCGACAATGTCCGGTGGTTCCCGATATGAATATCTGTGGGCTGACGGTGAAAAGTAAGTACATTCCGTGACCTTTTTTCTAGAATTATTCCTTTCGTTCGTTGAGTTTATCTAAATTTAAAACTTTTTGTACTGCCCAAAAAAGTACTTATTATAACATGAAATTAATCTAAAACTTTTTCATTTCTTTTATATTTTTAGTTATAAAAAACCAACAGCTCTGCCTGCACCAAAGTATATAGAATTGTTAATGGACTGGATTGAATCCATCATTAACAATGAAACCGTGTTTCCTGTCTCTACAGGTAAATTAAAATTTTAATACGTGAAAACACTATCTCTGCTAAGGGATAATAAATCCATTATATTAATATTCGTCGTAGGGTTACATTAAATTTGTGAAATTTTTGCAAGGCCTTGAAAAATAAACAAGTTACGTGTAGCTGCGGCCGAATCTCGCATACAAACCTCTACTAAAACGTTTGGCGCCCCATGCTATTATTTATTGTCATAAAAAGGTGAATAGGATAAAAGTTATCTTACGCTTTTTACGTGACAAAAGGTAGTGTTAAGACATCCACCATAATTAAACTAGAATTGCAGCTACTTTCGTACTTTATTGATTGAATATCTACATTATTGTTGTATGTATGCAACGTTTTAGATCAGTCATGGGCAACTGATGGCCCGTGAGCTCGTCGAGTCCAGTCAATTCAAAAATAAAAATAATTCAATTTACTCGCACATAGCGATGCTGTAATTGAATTGTATCTGTCTTCGCGACCATTTCTGATGTGCAGCTATCAACTGTTACATTTTTTTTTCCGATTATTACGCCATAAAATGAGTGATTTAGAAAGAAGTTAAATTGATTTACAATTACAGTTTGACTTTGCTCTGCCACCGGCTGACTGAATGAAAATTAAAATGGCCCGTTGATGAAAAAAGTTGCCAATCCCTACTTTAGATGGATATATACTATTAGATGGTATTCTTTCATCTAATCTAAAAATATGTTTATGAACTAAAGAAATTGGTGCTTTCAACCTGGATCTATCCAGATCAATTGAACGTCTCACGTTTAACGGAACGTTGAACGCTGATTGCCACGGACTCTTACAGATTAACAATTAGAAACGCAAACCGTGCCTTTCGCAACGCACAAAATTCTATTAGTTTTCTTGGTCAAGACTTCTTTTTTTAAGTTCTCTAGAAGTAAACTTTTTTTACTAAGGCTTTACATATGCATACTTTTTTTTCCAACTACAGATATTCCGTTTCCTAAAACATTTCCGACGCTTTGCCGTAAAATTTTAACACGTTTGTTTCGGGTATTCGTCCATGTTTATATTCATCATTTTGATCGAATTGTCAGTATTGGGGCGGTAAGTGATTAACATTATTTCATTTCATTAAAAAATGATTAATAATTAAACTAAAGTGATTTATTTACAAGTGAAAAAAAAAATGTCATATAGTAATAAACTTTTCAAAACTTTCTTATAGGAAGCGCATGTGAATGCCTGTTATAAGCATTTCTATTACTTTGTACAGGAGTTTGATCTCATTTCAAGCAAAGAGCTGGAACCACTACAGGAGATGTCCTCGCGAATATGTAAAGATTAAAGAACTGATTTTAATTATTAAGACGAAATTGCTGTATACGCACACATACACATGCACACACTAATTAAGTTAAAGCAAACTGAAAAAACAAAAAATATAAATTTAAAAAAAAAAAAAATGAAAATTAAGATCGACAACTAAATAAATAAACATTTAAGTAAATTCTTGAATTTCGAGTATAACATGCATTTGTTGAAGACATTGGTTTGATAGACAACGGCTATAATGCTCTTGAAAAAGAAAACTTGGAAATTAGGAACGTCCCTCCGTACGTATTTAGAAATTTTTTGCATAACATTGTGATCGCTATAATAGAGCGCTATGGCTAAAAAATTACTTAAATAGATAGTGACTGCCGCTTAGCATGTGTCGTAAGCGAATTATTTGAGTCCAATGGAATCTTATACGAAGATTAACAATTTAATTAGTCTTGAGGTAAAATGTTGAAGAAAGCCCTTGCTTCTCCAACTCTTTAGGTCAAAATTCCAGTTAAGCTTTAAATGATTTTAAATAATTTTAATAATATACAAAGAATGTAATAATATCTAGTAAAAGTCGGCCTCTTTTCACTTGGTACTACTACCCTACGCGGCGCTATTCCTATGTGGAGCAATCTAGAAGAGAGGCTATGTTAGCCATGCCGATCTGCACATAGCAATAACTTCTAAGCAAAAATGGCGTAACACTTACACCATTCGATGCTTATGCCTATATACCACCTCGTCCGTTTTTATATGTCTTATGATCATTAGTCGGGAGAATACGTAAAATTATGATAATAAAAATGAAAGACTTTGGCTAAATTTATTATAATAATATTACGAAAATCCCATATTTCATGTAAAACTAAACGATTTTCTAAGAAACCAAATTTTCAAAGAAGGAGAAAGCCCAAGACACTTATTTGATATGCCTCGTGTAACCGACGATTGCCGAAAAGATTAACAAGGATGGGCAGAACGTTTGCACACAACGTCAGAAGGTTCTCACACAAAAATGTCGCGATGAATTTAGATATTGGCAACTTGCTCCTAAAAGGGCATATAAGCAAGAATATATGCGGAAGGCAAATTCAATCGAGTCAACTGAGTTGACTTGCACTATTTGAACGGACAAGATCAGAGCGAGAATAAAGGCGTGGTAAATGTAAGTTTCTCTAAATAATTTGTAAATAAATCGCCTATGAGTGGGAAATAAAACCTATACTATCCTAAAAAAAGGAGTTGAACTTAACAATTAATAGGTACAAATAGGTTGTCATTTTTCCTTTGCTAGACTTGATAATTCCGTTAAGCACAAAATGTACATATTTCTAGTCTGCGGATCGATTTACTTATATTCTTTCCTTCGCTAGATATTGAAGGAGAAGTCTGCAACGTCCCAATCTTTAAGTGCAGCGCTGGTTAACGAATCTTGCGCCACATTAAAGCGGAAAAAGTCATGATTCCCGCATAAATTCCGTTATGCCTCGTTAATATGGCTCAAGCACTAAGATAAAAAGGAACGATCGTGAATGTTACCTTTAGTAAATATTTAAAAGTTGCAGCAGATATTTTTATTAGCGGACTCATCTAAAAATTTCATACGAGAATGGTCCCGATCAGTCTACTATTAACAGAGATGTTTTATATGCAAAGAATTATTCAAGCGTGCAATGGTGTGACTGAAATTTCCTCGTTTACAATAAAGTAGAAAAGTTAGTATTTCTAGGTCTTGCCGTATATCGAAAGCAGAGATATTAGATTTTAGAAAAGTGTCTTTGAAATCGCAGTTGAATCCGCTACTGTTTAGAAATGCGTGTGTGAATGTTTATTTCAATTGCTTTTTTTTTTTTTTTTTTTTTCTCATATTAATGGGGAAATTTTGTGTTTAATAACCCATTTACCTATCTCGAGCAACCAATAATAGCAAAGTGTGGCTATAATTTGCTGTTATTACGTCTTTCTCTCGCATTGTTAGACCTTGGATTGGTTTGGTTTTTGCATATTAATGGAAAAAATTTAAGGGATGAATTAGAGTGCATTCATATATATTTATAGATTTTCCTAAAAATTTACGTACATTTTGATTACAATGAAAGCAAAAAGGTGTAAATAAATAGATGAGTATTTGTGTAAGTGCCTTAAAGGAGAAATGTATTTCATACAATGACGGGCTTAACAAATGCGATTAAAATTGCTTTGAAAAATTTATAAAATTGTAATAAACAATTTAGAAAGTAAACGAGAGTTTCAAAAAAGTTTTGCTTTTTTGTTTTTCGTTGTTGCATATAACAGAGGAGGAGAGACGGAATACATTCCTAGTATTAGAATACATCAGATCACATCGTCGTATTAACCCATTTTAAGGTGAAGAGTCAACTTTTCAGTACCTCTCATTTCTTCTTGAAGTCTCCAAAAGTATCCCTACTTAGGGCAAGGCTCATTTTTTGTTTAAACCGGAATTGGTGATAATTGGTGGCTGGTCACCATATCATGTTAGGCGACAACGATAATTCGTGAAGTCTCCATTTGGGATTTTCCTAAACCTTACGATATAATCACCGAGGAGCGTTACGAATAATTGCTCCAGCTATTGATTCTGACAGTGTTTGGCCAGAACAGTTTTAGTGTTCGAAGAGGCCGATAAACACCTGTAATGCACTGAGATCACAAGCCGTTAAAGATATTAATTTTGATGCATTTGCAGATTGGGATTTCCACATAGAACTAAGTTGGTCGTAACCTTGTCTAGCCTTGGTTGTACCCTTTCCGATGTCATCTTTCGAGCCCCTAGTTGTTGTTGTTTGGATGTGCCTCAATGCTTCGCCTAAAATTTGGAAATCTAGGTTTTGTATTTTAGGATAATGCATTGGTATGCGTGCTTGAAAGGCAATTAAATCGGTTTTAAAGCAGAAATGATAATATCTTGATGCCTACAGTGTTCAAAAAGATAGTACACGTTTGTATAGCTTTTTCTTCACAAAAACATACACACTGCAGCACTTAAGAAAATGAATCTAATACAAAAAACAAACTTCATTTATGCGCTTAACTGTGTTCACTCTCAAGACATATGTATTATGCTCTTTTTAGTCGGCACCGATTAGAAAAGATGGGGAGCAACTAAGAGAACTTCTGAGACTATAAGGGGATGATATGTAAGCGTGAGCAGGAAATATATATAATTAAATGCAATATGTGTGTGAAACGCTTATCACCACATAACGTTCATTAATGCGATAATTGCTTACACCATTTTAACTTATTATTTCATTAGTGTTAAACTTTTTACTATTACCAAAGGATATGGTAATTAATGCTCTTACATATATATACCAAAATGTGTGCAATGAAGATTAACATAAAATAACTTTATCTACAGTTCGTTAAGTGGAAAAACACATGTACCAAGTGCACAAATCTGCTTTTTGGCAATATTTAGATTAGAGCGTTTAAATAATATTAGAGGAAGTTAACACTGCCCCCAATCTCCTCGATCTGAACATCGTCTCCTACATGTTAAGATATATTTGCTTAGAGATGTGGGGTTTTTGCTATACGTTGAACATTTCTTGCTTCTAGATATGTGGGTTTTTTACTATAATTGAAGTTTCCCTTGCCGTTACGGTGAACTTAACATTTAGCCAACGTTTTAACATGTTTGAGTAGGTATTCTCGTTATCATTTCAATTCTGTAAATCAGTTGACATAATTAAAAATCTTCAGTTTAGAGGTATTTCCAATTTCAGTGTTGACTTGGCTTAAACACCATAATATCAAAACTTACTAATCTCCAGGGGAACAAGGGGAATATAGGACTTGAAATTTAGATAAGCAAATTGTAACTGTGGCTGCCATCTATTTTGACCATTCTTTCACATCTCTGCGCTTTCTTTAACTTTGTGGGAATCAATAATAGGCATCATAAGCGGATGCAAGAAATTGCTAAACAAAATCGACAAATTGCGGGGCCATACAAGGATAGAATGATTATAATGAGATTATAGCACTTGCGGTAAGGGTTTATGAAGATTGCGTAGATTTGTGCAACAAGGGCAACGACTTGAGATAAGTCCACCTTTTATTATGTCGATCAACTCTGAGTCGTTGTACCCCACAGTCATCATTTCTTGTGCCAATCGACTAAGAACACTTTTTCGAATTGCCTAATCTTTACTTTGCTTGCTAGCATCGAACCACTTTGTCTATTCTTTGAATCAATCCTTTTAGTTCTGGCTCAAAATACAGAGTAGATTTTGTGATTGTAATCTCTTGTGTATTTAATGATCGACTTTACTCCACTATACCGTGTTAACTCCTTTACATATGTAGAAGCGCTTAGTAAGTGTAAAAGTTGCAAATGCTTCACGAATCATGTTGGGAAGACAATGTTATTTTTGAGCTACCATATTTTTACGTAAATCTAAGTGTACACTGCAGTGTAGTATTTTATTGGATTTGCTGAGCCAGAATTCTGCGACATCATATCTTTTTAATCAGTAAATAGCTAAACTTATTTATCTATTGATTACTCGTGCGGTTCTCGCAACTAGTACAGTTTTCGGCTGAGCGATTTCTTGCGACAAAGTCAAGCGTGAGGTTCTCACAAAATTAATGAAGAAAGGCTTTATTACTAAGATATATTTTGTAAGAAATGAAAGACCTACAGTGAGCCTCATTAATATTGGGGTTTTCCGCTCGACAAAAAATAAAAGCTTGTTAAATGCATTCCATTATCCAAACATAAAAATTTATTTTACTATTTTGTACTACTATCGAATGAATACATATTAATATATACAAAGAAACACAAACAAAACATTATTCCAGTGAACAAGAATATTAAATGACTTGAACAATTCAAAAAACACAACGTCATTAATATTGGGGTTTTTTTTCCTATAAGGAAGAATGCAAAAACAAAAAGCAGCATATTATTAAAAATTAATATTTGGTGGGGTATCTTTTTTGTTCAATAATGTCATTTAAAAGTTTTGACATAGTTTGTGAAATTTTTTCTTGTATAGGAAACAGAGATCTTACTCCATTCTTTTTATTGTCTGTTGATCAGATCTTCGATAGAAAAGATTGAGTTTTTGCACACGGCAGTACAATTCATGCCACATATTTTTGACAGGGTTCATGCTTGGTGATTGAGAAAGAGGGTGAAGCACTTTGGAGCAGTTATATAAGAGCCATCCTTGAATTAAGCGGGATTTATGTTTGAGGTCGTTGTCTTGGTAGAATTTCAATATTTCCAAAATACCAAGTTCGTCTGTGGTTTCTTCTAAATTTTCCTTCAATATCGTTAAATAATCTCCATTGTTTACAATGCCACCCTTAGACACCAATTTTCCGACTCCATTGGCCCAATGCATACGAAACTACAACATGATCATTGCCATGCTTGCCGTAAGCCGCTGGTAGAAGAACGTAATAGGAAGCTAAGACAGGGAAGTGACATTTCCAAGTTCACTTTTTCCGTCATATTTGCTCTCATCCCTAGTATAAAATAGTGGACTTGGCTTAACAAGCGTTTGTTTTTTGTCAAATGAAAAAACCCAATTTTGATTTTCTGGGAGAACTGATATAAGTTATGCTATATCTATTGGTCCAGAGTGTCCACTTGCTGAGAACTTATTTTTTCGCCGCATCAGTAATACTTTCACTTCAATTCCCAATAGTTTTTTCGCAAGGTTTATACTGATAAACAAATTTGTTCACGAGACTCTGATGGCCGGCTGCAAAGCGAGAACTATTAACACATCATCAAATGTTGTTTTTGCAGCGACAAGACGTTGTTGGTCTGATTTAGTGTAGAGAGAATCAAACTATAATGCCAAGGCAAGCCTAAGGGCTAGCGTAGAGCTGCCAGACAGAAAGACATTTCCGACGGTCAACACATGTCGTTGAAAGGCTACCCTGTTCGGGAAAACGATCGTGTTCGTCGGAAACAACGCAGATCGCAGACGGTTACCGTTACTACAAAGGAGTAAGTGTGAGAGGAATACCATTTTTACCTTCAACGAAGCAAAGTACGAAGAAGAGAAACCTTGGCTAACTAACTAACCTGCCGGGTGGGCAAGATATTAGACTTCAGCACACTATCTTCTCGTCCTTCTTCTCCTTCTCCACCTCCTCCTCCTCCTCCTCGTTCTCCTTTCGACTACATTTTTCATTTTAACTATGGAAATCCCGCTAAATGCTCTAGTTTGGCACGTTAGGTCGTCAAAAGAAACTAACACAAACTGGAGGAAAAGAGAGCGCTCTCATCAGACCTTTATGTAATTACTCTTGAATATTTCATTCAGCTTATCAATTTTGGGAACTTTGTTGGAATCCCATAGAGTGTTGGTTAACTAAATCGCTTTGTGTTTTAGTCTGAGGGTTGAAAAAAGCTCTTAAAATACTACTTTTTGAGCTATAAGGCTGGACGAAGGTTCATATAGTTGATGATGTTCAAGGCAAAAACGCATATTACTTCGAAATTGGTATTTGATTTTTCTTTGGTCTAACTGCCGATATGTAAGAAAGAGCAGGTTTAAACTTAGGTTAACGACTCAGATTAAGATTTCGAAAATGGGAATTGGAATGACGCTTGAAATAGTTAAAAATCTGCGATATGAGCGCAATCGACGTATAAGCGACATTTTATGGAAATGAAAGCAAATAGTTTTCATCTAAATATTAGAGATTCACTCTCAAGTGAGTATATATACATATATAGTTTTTTCGCTTATTTTTTTTTTTTTTGATAAGTAAACTTTGCTTATTTGTGTTTTATTTTAGAACAAAAATTGCGATAATTCGAGTGAAGCTTCTAAAATGCAACTAAATTTAATAAATTTCACATACATGCATACATGCAAATATTACTGTAACTCTATCAACATTCGGTTTAAATTCTTATCTGCTCTTATTTGATTTGTAATGAATCCATTTCATAATGAATCAATTAAATTAATGGCAAACAACTAATACGTGAAAATTTAAATGTAATTAAAATATTTTGTTTAACAATTACGAAATGTCTTTGTATGTTATACGCACAACGTATCTATTATGTATATATATATATATATATATATATATATATATATAGATATAAACACTTATAAATAAACATGAAATGCCTGTACATAAGTAAGCTTATTAGCAGTTGGGAGATAACTGTTGTTGCTATTGTGGCTCTAATACCCCTTTTTTCTATTAAGATCATGCGCAAAGGAATATATATATATATGTATATATATATATAATACATAGTAATGGTAGATTTGATTCAATGTTCCTTGCGACTTGGCTCGTAAGTACTCTTATCGTTATACTCTCTAACATTGTACGACTAACCTTAGAGTTGCGAATATCCTAAATAATGAGAAATTTAATCATAATGTGGAGTGAATTTTAGATAATTTAATAATAATAAAAAAAAATAAAAAATTACTTAATCAAAAAAAATAAATAAATAAATAGCAAATAAGAAAAATATATATTAAACACATCCGTAATTGGAATGAAATGGAAGAATTATCTAAGTTTGTAAATAAATCCTTTGAGCAATCAATAAAAGGAAATCGTGTACAAGATCTTTTTAATGCAATGACCCAATCCGAGTTATCCAATAAATTAATAACTGATCGTAATTCGATAACGGGATCTTTCGATAACAGTGATAAAGACAACGACAGCGATTCGGTCGATATTGATATTACAAACGTATCCAGCATTGATGATAGTAAGCCTTCCGTCGGTGATGGTGCCGAACTAATTGTCAATGAATTGAAACCATTATCGTTAGTGAAGCATAACTTAATCAGAGGTGATTCGGTGATTCTAAGTGATAATGTAAAGGCGACGGCAAATAGATCTGGCATCTGTCTCAGCAGCAATAATATTTCGAAAGCAAAAAATTGGCTAATATCCGACGCAACTAAAGAGAACAATTTTCATCATTTAAACATTATTGCAAATGATGGTAAAAAATGTCTACATACATATATACAAATATATATATATATATATATATATATAAATAAATACTAAAATAAAATACTTAGATAAAAATTTTTTTATGCATTTCTTTGGAGATGCAAGCTCGCAATAATTATACAAATGGGGGAAAATCATAAGCTGAAGATGGAGAGAATGTAAGCGACTCGTAAAGGTCGCATACCATTTTTCGATAGTCCGTACTTCAATAAATTTGAAACCGTTAGCAGCTTTGATTACTGGCTGCTGGTTCAGCAGAGCCTAGAAATCCGGATAATTGCTTAGTGTACTTGTTATCTGAAACCAATGTACCTTTTCATTCTTTTAGGGAGAAAGTTTGAAGATTCTTTAATCTAGGGATTTTTTTTTTATTAATTTCAAGCAAACTAATGCATAGGTCAAGAGCACTCTAACGTTTATGTCAATCTTGAATTGAATAACGTGTATCGTACACACTTACTATAGGTGCGATGTCGCGAAATTCATTCCAAGTTCAGTGAATTTAGATGTTTTAAAAACGAATGACGACGGACGAGAGATAGACAATACAGAGACGGATTAATCATAGCTAAGGATATTCTTCCTTCAATTTCTTATCACAATTTATGCAATCTATGCAACCATTAGAGTTCTCACAACCTATAATGGAGGGACGGATGGACAGTCCGCAACGACTGAATCAGCTTGGAATCCCAAAAAACTATTAGGAGCAGTGTATGTAAAAATGAGAGAAAAGATGCAAGTTTTTGCCGAAAATCAAAATTTATTGGTCAGTGTTGAGGCCATTCTCGGCTTATTTAAACATCGAAGCCGACGGGGGGGCTTATCCTTTTAAGATCGTACGGCATCGTTGTTTCCTCGAAACAATACAAAAAACACGCGCAATATATAAATTTTCTCCACGTTCAACAGATATCATGCATTAGCTATTTCAGCCGCATTTCCTTAAATTATCGGCACAAATTTCATGTTATTTCTTACTGCTTTACTTAATGAGGGAATTTTCGCTCTATTTAAAAATATGAAGATGAAAATTATTATTAATTAATTTAGACTCGTATCTTTGAATATTTATTATATAATCACCTTTATCGGGCGAGCGACTTCGTCTTATGTTTCCATATTTCTTCCAATACTTGCGCGTGTATTCGGAACTTACTTAGTAGTATGCCGCACTAGACGCTTATTTTACATATGTTGGAAATGCGTGTGCGAGTGAAAGGACAATGCGAAATCTGAACTATGTATAGGAGCAATAATATTTAGTGGCACTCTCTTGGGTTTTATTAAAACAGTCGACTGATAAATGTATAAAACTCGATAATTTGCGTAATGTTTTTGAGGAATGTTTTCAGTTCGAAGTTTTCCAGTTTCCAATATCTTTTCAAAATAAAAAAAATGTGGATTTTGTCAAACTTTGAGCTTTTCAATTTTTATATATTATAATATATAAAGACAAGATCTTTGCTCAATAAATATTCATCTAGATCGAAACAACAAAAATCCTACAATCTTGCCAAACATCTTATGACGTCCGCCTAAAACTTAAGCGCATAACCAAACGTAATCTGCCAATGGAAATACCCACAATAGGTAAAAAGCGCGATCTAGAAGAGTCTGATCTAAAGATTCTACAAGGTAAAAAAACTTTTTTGCAATTCTGACCTATTGCCTAATGATTGCAATTATAAAGTGATCTCTCTATGGCGTTTGCTTACTTGCTTTGTTGTTCCATTTTGTTCGTTTCAATATTTTTATAAAAGCAATTTTCCGCTATTTATCAATCAAAATTGTTTTCCGATTCTTCCTTTTAAGCTTACTGGCCGACCTTATGGTGATTAGTCGAGTTCTTCATTCTATTTAAAACCTGAGATCGATTCAGAACGCCATTCGAAACCGATTGGCATAATGAAAAGTGGGCCGATCCCAAATAGTGTCCTGCAGGGTATAAAAATTGATAGGAGGTTGAAAAGTATTTCTCTTCCCAATTCCGAAGATTCAAAATTAAGTTCGAACTGATTATAAAATACAGATATTGGTGAGAATAGTTCTTATTTGAATAAAATTTCAGGCTCGAGGATAAAAAAATTGAAATGAAAGGAATAAGAAACTGATGCCATAAAACATCCAATACCGCTCCATGTAATTTCCTCATCCATTTTCGCCTTAATGTATTAAAAATTGGACCCCATTGTTTAACCTTGTAAATGCCTACTTTCTTGAAAATTCTTATGCATGGAAAGTTCCCCAGGATAAACCTATTAATATTGAAATTATATATTGTATTCCTACGAAAATCCTTTTCTCGGATAGGGCTCGTATCACTAGATCATCTGGATATTCTTTTTAAGGGAAATACACTAGCACGTTTTCATTTGATGATCTTTATTTACTTTGGCGATACTCTCGACTTCTCAACTCTAATATTCTTTTTCGATTCAAATGTTCTTGTCCGACTGACTCTTGCCTTCCGCAAACAGTGTGCATATGCATTTCGACAAGCATATCGCTACTACCTAAGTTCGTGGCTTCATTTTCAAACCGTTAACCTGCTTTTTCGGTAATCGTTTCCCACGGCCGGTAGCTGCATGTCGTGCCGCGAATGTGCGCTTAAGTTTACCTTTTCTAGGGTATTTATTATTTGAGAAAATCGATTAGTTGGAGTGAACTGGGGGTTTGGGATTTCCGTAACAGTGCTTTCCACTTAATCCTGTTCGTCCAAAAGCTATCATTTCCGAAAGCTATCCGTCTACTTACGTGTGCTGCTTTACTTGTAGCTTCGCCTTTCTGATGTTTCTAAATGCGATAGACTCTATCAGTGATCCTCGTGATGACTTTGTACGGTCCATCCCAGTTAAATTGCAAATTTGCTGATAATCTGTCACTATGCGACGGCTTATACCAGGTTGTACCAGGTCGCCGTCAACAAAGCTCGCTTTCCGATCATTTCTGGCTCTCATCTTTTCACTTGCGTTTTAACTTCTGTCTGTACATCGTTTTGGCCGCCTTTGGCTTTTAAAAAATTCCTTCATTCAAACTTTTCACATTCAAACATGACCCATCTGTTTTTTTATGCAAAGATATTTTAAAATAAGGCGTTATAAGGAGAGAGTGATCGTAAAAAGTCTGGGATTAAATCCATTTTCAATAGCCTTCGTTTTCAAGATCAAACCATGTCATTCTACTAAATTTCATGACTATATCAAAAGTAAACATCAGCGGAATAGATAGAGAGACAGCGATTCAGAAAATAATTTTGAAAAGATATTATAAATCGATTGATATCTTCATAAAATTGTTGAATAAATGAATAATAATATAATTATGATTGAAATTTATTCAACATATTTGGCAGCAAATTTATTTATTCCGGTGGCTACTTCATACGTATGATTTGCTGGCCACAGCTTATGCCAGATATCAATCTAAAAGGTGTCAATTTAATCTGAATGATCCAACAGTTGAACGATAATCATTAGGATCCGTATATATTACGTGTATTGAAATCTCACGTGTTTAGTAGAATACTCGTAGCTTTCCTCGCTGTTTCAAATAATCACAAAAGTGTTAAGTGGATATCGGAGCTTTTCTTCTGTTTAAGCCGGATGCTTCGAGAATCCCTTCGAACATGTACTGTTACAAAAATTGTACAAATGAGTCTGCTTGAAAACTAACCGATTTTCTGAGAACCTATATTCTAACAATAGTGACTAAATGTAGATGCATGGATGCGATTAGTATGGAAGTGTTGCAATGATATTAGGTTTGGTAAATTGATTGTAAAAAGATATATTCGCAGCAGGCAAAGTCAGACAAGTTAAGACATTGGAATTTATTATATTCAAATGGACATGATAGGAAGACGCATTGTAAATATAAATTCGTGAAAGTAGTTTGCAAATAGATCTCCTAAGAATTGTCAATATAATCTATCAGTGATACGAATATAATTTCAAAAGAAGCCAAATAAAAACGTAAAATCGTAAGGAACATTTTACGGTACGTTACGCTATTGATTGGTGACCCATTTAAGTCGATTCATCCAAACAGCCATCGATCCGTGAACCGATCAACCTTTCTGGAATTTCCGAAGTACAAGTAGATAAGAATGCTACAGCGGGTCAAGGTCGCGGCTACACCACTTCACTTACGCAACGTGGTTTAACTTTAATGCACTTAGTTTATTTCGTAGAGATTTTATTATTTACCAGTTGTCTCGTCATAGCAAATTAGAAAATAGGCTTTTGCCGCCATAGAAGGATCTAAAAAAAGATGTATTCGATTCAAATTCGCCAGGGTTGGTCATCATAAAATATTAAAAATTAAACCTATTTGGCATATAAAGGCTTATGTGCTATAAAATGTAAAAGACGCTTCTCAAGTGAAGATATATGTTATCTGCCTAAAAATAGGTTAATTTTACAATGAATTTGGTAGAGACCGTGATGAATATTTCCTTTATAATACGCGTGATATGGGTATCAAATAAAAGAACTTGGAGAGAAAGAATGTGAAAAGCATAGTTGTGGGTATGAGAGAATCGGCCCCCGCTGAATATTACTTTCTTGTTTGTTTGTATACTTTTTTTTTTTTTCGTTGCTAGAAATTTTTGTGAATCTTTATAATATGATTTAAGCAAATGATTACTAATATAATTCGTTACTTCAACCTTTCTGGTAATTTCCGTCTGCATAACACGCTTTTATGTAGTGATATCGATAACTAAAGAGTCGCGTTTTTTTTTTTTTTTTTTTTTTTTGGTTTGATATAACAAACCACTCATCGCATGTCTCCTATTCATGTAACAGAATAATGGTGAGAAAGGAGTGAAGAAAGGTAAAGAGATAGAGAGGTGACACACAGTCAACTGTCAAGTGTTATGCCTTTAGCGACTGAGCGCTCGCTATAGCCATGACCAAAGTAAACTCTACTGCACTGAGCTTTGAACCGGGGAACACTGACTTGGTAGTTGCGATTCTTATCTCTTCGATAGCTCCCGCTGATCGTTATTTGCTTTCATTACTTAACCAAAGTTTTTAGAAATGCCACTTTCACGAAGCTATGTAACTCTCAACTCTATCCAATCATTTGAAAAATTTTTGGCTTTCCTAACGGCTTCGCAATGCCTGCGACGACTATCTAAATTATTTAATATTTTTTATTGCATTATTATTATCGACATATTCATTTTTAAATACAACCAGCTATGGGAACCACTTGTAAATCGCAGTAAGAACTTTACAACGCACTACTGCGCTGTTAATCATAATAGACATTTTTTTTATTGACGATTTATTTTTGTAAGCAATTTTTTTTTTGTTATCAATAATCCACTAAGTTATCGGTCTAATATATACATATATATTATGAGGCAAAGAGTGTATAAATATTCATCAAGTCCATCTTTTCAAAAAAGAGCGGGAAGTATCAGTCCAAAACGTACGAACTAACTTACGGAATTTTCACTCAAACTCCGAGCTATTGTTCCCTTTAATTGTTAGAACTCGAAATTTTATTCAAGAAATTGTGTTCATTTTTAATAAAAAAAATTCGCAAATTTAAATTCTCTTCTTTGGTTCTATTTTATGAACATTTCTATATAGTTTTTCAAAAATTTAAAGTCGTTGCGATCCTTTTACAATATTAATATTAATTTCAGAATTAACCGACTCGAATAGTTCATCAGCGTTTAATGATCGAACTAATTGTTGCGGGTCACCAAGCAGTACAGATTCAAAGCACATTAGCTCCCGATGTAATGATCTCAATGCACGTGATTTTGCTACTAATTGTGATACATCAAATAGTTCTTCCGTTGCGCTCAATAACAAACAACGGAGGTCGCGTACAAATTTTACCTTGGAACAGTTAAACGAACTCGAAAGACTTTTCGAAGAAACACACTACCCAGATGCCTTCATGAGAGAAGAACTTAGTCAGCGTTTAGGTCTTAGCGAAGCAAGAGTACAGGTAAGTGAAAAATAATTCGTTTTTAATACCATCACAGCCTGAAATACAATTTGGATACTTTTTTTTTTTGACAACTGATCAGAATGTCTTTGTTATCAAAATTCAAGTTATGTACAGATTTTGATTAGAGCAAATAACACATAAATAAAACTCATCTCTTGCTATAGCGTTTTTCAATTATTGCGTGAAAAATTCTGGTGAAAATATCATAGCCATAGTTCGCTCGTGAAAGCAGCTAAGGTTTTAGTGTTAGGTCAAGGTCATAGGAGCTGCACTTAAAACCAAATTTTATTTAGCGATTTTGTAGTTTTCTGGAATTAAAAAGCATTTTATCAAGTTTCCACATTTTTTATATTCACCAGTGAATAAAGGACATTTCACTTGTAAGCTCCGCATGTAGGCAGCACTGATCTGAGAAGTGTGAAAACATTTTTGCAACTATTTAACGACGGTCTGTTTAGTACGTTTAATATCCTTATGTAATATCCAGCATGCTGAGATAGTTTAACGTATTTGCAGGTAATCGTTTAAAAATTGGGAAAATAGAGAAATCGAAAATCGGAACTTATAATGTTGGATCAAAAGCACTGGATGAGTTCACAAGGAATCTCTTGATATCCCGAAAATGTGTTAATATTTCTACATTTTTTAAGGGATTTTGTTTTGTGGGCATTGCTTTTGGAAAAATTACGCTCTCACCCTAACCTAATGTAGCGAATCAAAAATAGATGCACGAAATTTCTCGTTTCTGTGCTCACTTTTACGGCTCTCTAAGTGAAATAAGCGCACAGGTAGACAAACTTTAATATCGGGTGAAAGAAGTCTAAGAACCGTTGTTTAACATATGAACTTCTTGTGCTAAATTTGGACTGCAGTGGTTTATTTTCCTGACCGCCTTCCTTCCGCCTGACCGAGTTCCCACGAGTAAATTGAAGCTTGATGTAAGGCAACAAGAGCTAATGTTTGGTATTTTACGAAAATATTCGCTTAGGCTACCTGAAGGTCGACCTCGCTCTTGTCGGAATACATTTATGAAAACAATGACAAGACTTTTCCTACTACCTAGCAATCGATTTCAAAGTTTTTCTCTTCAAATTTCAATTGAATTTTGCTTAAACATATTAATATAATATAAATTATTTGTGCGAGTTATGTTGTCATATAGTTAAGTCAGCTTTTCAATAATAAATGTTTCACATTATTCCCGTTGCAAAAACAATCATTAATCATCGTAAAGTACAAACTAAAAACTTTCTTTCTCGATACTAATGAACACTTAGTGTAAGTACTTGACGGTGATGATAATGTAATAGTAATAGCTTTACATGTCAGTTATAGTGCAAAGGAGGGTTGAAATCTTTAACTCATATTAACTTTTCGATGGTATCTGTTGTGTGTGTGTGTGTGTGTGTGTGTGTGTGTGTGTGTGTGTGCTTTCACTAAATAGTTAAGTGACTATGAAAATCTCAAATTTAACACTTCATGCGCAAAAGTCAGTGCGTGACGATTAAGACATTCATGTAGATCTTAAATTGGATCTTCGAATATTATTACTGGTTTGGATTTTCAATATTTCGATAAGAAACTGATTCAATTTAAATTTTGCGTTCTTTTGTCTTAAACTTGAAAACATAAATGTGAAAGATGGGGAAGCAAAACTGAAGAGGAGAAAAAAAAAACACAAAGTAAAGAGGAGAAAATAGAAGAGAACAGTTGTAAGAAGACAAGAAAAGAAAGAAGGAGAAAACAAAAAACAAGAAAAGAAGCTAGGAAATAAAGAAAAGGACAAAGGAGAAAAGCGGAAAGAAGACAAAAGAACAAAACAGAATAGAGAAGAACAGAAAAGAAGAGAATGGAAGGGAAGAGCAGAAAAGACGAGGCGCGAAAACTAAAAAAAATTGAAAATAAAGAGGAGGAGGAACTTATATTTAAAAAAAAGGTCTTTCCAAATCGCTCATATAAAACACTCTTCTACAAAATTATTTTTTCTATACAATTTATGAGTCTTAAGCTAAAATAAACCTCTCAGGTATTAAACTGCTTCCAGTCAACTATTGTGTGAGCAAATAAATTTTGAAGTTTCCTTCTTTGTAATTTTGAAGTTTTATTCAGACAAATTGGTACAATGTCTTTTAAGACTATCCCATATTTAGGCATCGTCATAAAACTCGCACCACCGTCCGAAAAACCTATAAGTAATTTATTGAAACGAGTGTTAAGTGAAGGGTAGGACCTTCCAGGTTAGAACTGCAAACATATCCTGCGATCGAGTTTTGTTACATGTAAGCGAATTCGGTGTCACGACTTTCAGTACGTTACGCCCATTTTTTGAGCCATCGCATCAATTATTGGATGTAGTATTCATTCGGGATGGTTTTGTTTGATTGAAACAAATTTTAATACCCCACTCCCAGCTAACGCTCTCAAATGGGGCCATCAAGGATAGTCACTTGTAACGTCAATGTAATTAGTGCACATACTCTCTATCACTTGTAAGGATTTAGCCGCGCTATCCTTTGAATTAATAAGGAAAAGTAAAGTTTCCCGCAAAGTCCACTTGTTTGGAACTAAACCACCTATATTCAAAGCAGCAAGAAACTATGTTGCACAGGCTTTAATATGATAGCTTATACAGTCGCATATAGCACAAAGGGCGTACAGTTTTATTTTATACCCAATAGTTACATTTACAACGTATCTTACCAAACCGGACCGAACTAGTTTGAACTCCCAGCACAACTGAAAACATTGTCGCATTCTGAAGTTTAAATATGTTGGCTTTCGCACCACCGAAAAGTAATTTGCGCGAATCTTGTTACATCAATATTAACTTGTGGGCAGGCACTGTTTGCGATCTTGATGAGGAGCATGAAGAAATTGAAGGATAGTTTAAAGTTCCCAATTAAATTTATTAAACTATAGAACGAGCACTTGAGCCCAAGTTGCAAAAAAATTTGGGGAATCTTCTGGCATTGCTTGCTGAGCAATTTCCTTACATTTCAAAATCGTAGGAGTAGGTCAAAAGCAAAGAAATAAGTTGGTATGTGTGTTAAAGTCAAGTAACTTCTCAATGCAAGAACGAAAGGAGCAAGCGGACAATGCTCCATATTCGGTGCTGTGTGCGTGACAGATTATGAGCTGGCAAAACCGCATGAAATCATCAGGAGAGATCGGTTCTGTTTCTCAGTGGCTCTTGGTCTATGTGAATAGCATTTTCTCTTCTTCTTACGAGGAGTGCAAAGCATTTATCGATATTTTGATTGCCTTCAAGGATCAGCCGTTTTCTTAACATGAAATTTGAGAAAAAATAATCCGTCGCGTTACAGGCAGTAATAACATGCAGTATGGAATTTATCGCCGTACGTAAATAACAAAACAGTGCCATTTTTTACTTTTAATATGATCAGCGACTCAGGGGATGTGCTTAATTGGCGCAACGAGGTGACTGTCAGAGAGAAGTGAAATAAGAGAAAGAAAGACAGAAATGGGGCAATGGTCGGCGCGGCGGCAATGGGTATGTACCCAATCCACCGATATTATGCTTTTACCGACTGAGCGCTCCCTATAGATATAAGCAAAATAAACTCTACCGCACTAAGATTTGAACTCGCGAACATTGCGTTGGTAGTCACGAGTCTTACCTAGTCCCCTATTTGCCAATAGGTTTAATAAAGGATGGGGCACGTCGTTTTATCAGCTTCCCCTTATTGTATATTTCATTTAAAAATAAAACCGATCCCGTTCTTAATTGTTTTTTCTTCCTTCTTTCCTAGGTCTGGTTTCAGAACAGACGAGCGAAATGCAGGAAACATGAAAATCAAATACACAAAGGTAAGAACCAAACCAAAAATTGCGTAATTTCACTTTATTGAGTTTTACAGCGTTTTTTTCATAATAATACACAAGAGTAGTCTCTAGTTGGAAAATTGGGTCGATCCTCCATTAAGTATGCTCGAAATAGGAAAAATTTTGAAGAATTAAAAAAAAAACATAAATAAAGAATGCGACATGGAAAGATGCATTCAATGCATAGAATGCACTCTATTCCCTCTAGAACGAATGCGTAAAATTTAACCTCAAACTAATACACAGTTATTGAAAAAGAGTTACTAGTTAGTTGACCAACCGATTGGGAGTCACTCTTTTGTTGTTTTAATATTTCTCACTTAAGGTTGGGCGATTTAATAGTAATCTGGTAGACTTAGACCTTTTAAAATAATATAGGCTTAGTCGAGATATGTCCCCTACACGCATAACACCGTGACGGGGAGAAATAACAGGCGAGAGAGAAATAAGAAATTGCCGTAATATGGATTGAATATTAAAGTTTATTGGCTCTTATAGGCCAGATTACTGTCAGATCGTGGTCATTTCAAAAATTGATCAACTATTCCCGGTTAAGAATGTACGCAAAGTTTCATCTTCCCGTGAAGAGTTTTGCTACCACGACGGGCAAGAGAAGTCGTCCGACTTTGTATAGAAAACAGTTCAAATTGACTGACCATCTCTTAAACTTTATAATTCAAAGAATATATTTTTTTCGCATACATTACCCGATTTCTGATAAATGTTTTTGACACAAACGCCAAACGGAACAAAAAAAGAAGAGTGTAATCGTGTATGTTTTACGCATACATTATCATCAATTCGAAGTTAATTTTTACTAATAACATGGAAGACATAAGTATGACACAACGTGCCAGAGAGTCCGAAATATTTTACTTTTGATAAATCAATGGTTAACCGGCTGCATTACTGAGCATTGTCTTTACTTTATCGGCGTATAAAAATGAAAACCGAATTTGCTTTACTGCTTCACAGTTAAAAATGCAAATTTTATTAACGGCAAAGACAAATTTTTGCACATATGTTAACATTTAAAAGTCGCTTGAATACTAATGAAATACATTTGCATTGAAAGTGTCTCGTGTGTTTGTATGTAATTAAAAGTGAACGGTTGAAGTGAAGGCGAAGTGTCAACAAGTAAAGCGCAAATATTCTAATTGAAGTTTATATCAAATTTACAAAAAGTATTAAAAACTTTTACAATTAAGCAACTTGAAAACACGGTCATGGATAAAAAACGTCCATCCACGCATAAGGGCAATCTGATGAATACAAACTGATCCGTGTATAATCCCTGCATACATATATCCGCGCATAGATTTCGTTCTTCATTTCGTTTCTATTAGTGGAGACCTCGTAATATCAGTATATATCAGTGTGGAAAATTAAGAAGAAGAGGAAAAAGAAGAAGACGAGATCATTTGATGATGAATATGTCGATAGCATGAGATAGTATTAATGAGCGAGAATTTTATCGAAAATCAACAATAATTATAGTAACCCGTCAGAACGAATTTTCATTATATATATATATATATATATATATATATATGTATATATATGTATATATATATATATATCTTTTCTTAGACCATAAGAGAAAGCATTCCGCGTCTCTGCCCACGGCTTACAATGTTGAATAAAAGCAAAAGTAATATTTCCTTGTCATTAAATAGATTTTAAATTCGTATTTTTACGTTAACAGCAACGAGCGACAACTATTTTATTGGTATACTTGCGTACAAAAAGGACGCAACACATTTTCAATGTTTACATTTCAATCAGCGCAATTATATGAATCTGTCTGCATGCATACACATTGGCACGTACAGTAATATGAAAAAAAAAGTTATTACTAAAGGAAAGTTACTCTTGCAAAAGTTCTTCGAAATCTTTTTATTCACTTATTTGCCGCCTATGCAGAAAGACAGTCAAGTCAGTCATATTGAAATATAGACATCCTATAGACCAGATAGATATCGCGGCTGCCTTTTGTAAATAATCTTATGCAAGAGCAGCAGTACTCTCTGCTAGATCGGGTTTTCAAGGTTAAAGTTTGAATCAAAAATATTCAGAATAATTGCGGTGATGTTAAGCGATTAAAATTAGTTTAGAATTTTTTATGAGTAAAGCTTCCAGAAGAGACTGCAACTGGCTACATAGCAGTCCCAAGAGCCATTAGGAAATCGAAGATTGATGAACCCTACCCAAAACATATTAAAAATTTCGAAGATAGATGGAAAAGAAATCCCAAATTTTTTTTTTTTTTTTTTTTTAACTAAACTACAAAGCCTGTTAATCCTTATGTACGTCTAATTATTGGAAAGTTGGAGAAGTTATTTTACACTTTCTATGCTGTTCTAAAAAAACATTGCGCTAAACAAAAACTATTCCGAGCGATCACTTCCTAACACTTTTTAAATAATTTCATTAACCCGAGTGATGTCGAAAATTCGGCCCATCCTCCCAATAGAGTTAAATTAAAAATCCTGCTCGTAAACTACCTTAAAGCTCTTAAAAAAAACTGTAGCGCGGGCGTATAAACAAAACGAAGAAGGAAACGTAACGCAATCCGGAAGTCTATCTCCTTTCCTTAGCTTAAGTTGAGAGAAGTTTCCGTATTGTTTCACACATTCAACAGTAAATGATTATGCAAAGGAAAGGTTAGTAAATATTTTTGAACATCACTGTAATTAGATGGACGTACATATGTAGTAATGTACGAATCTTTCGTTCATTATTCACCTTAAAACCATAAAACATTTGCCAGTCAAAGTTACCCGCTGCGTGCCGAGATTTAACATAAACAATTTTGTTGTGCATAGTTAACGACAACAAATTAATTTGTAAATTGCCCTCTCCATAATCTAATACAATCCGTTCCACAGCATATAAACACACGCAGAGAAAGCCAAACCAAAGCGTATCAACCATTCCGACATCTCCCTTGACATTTTCATAAGGAGACATACGAAAATGTTGATGCACACACACGCACAATAATATACATATTTACATTCCTACATATATATGAACAATTGTATGTATGTATGTATGTATATATGTATGTATGTTGGACACTTTATGCATCTTTAAAGTGCTATAACACTAAGTCCTGGTGGTTTGTTGTTGTTCTTAGATCCGTAGATAGAAATTGCCAAGTGATTCTATATTATTTTTAAGTGAATTAAGGGATGCTTATCCTTGTTTGCACTCAAATAAAAATAAAATTGATTATCGCCCGACTCACTGACAGTTCATAAAATATCACTTAATTTAAAGCAATTTGTTCGCTCTTTTTATTTTTTCTTTTCATTTTTTTGTCTTTTTTGTTTTCATTTTCTATTCAATAGCATTTTCTTTCAGGCCAAGTCGCATGGTGTCTGATTGTGGGAGTAATTGAGTGTAAAATATATCCGCATTTTTAATGATGTTGTAAATTTTTTAAGACATAATTTTTTTTTGTTTTTTTCATTTAATACAAATTAATAATCAAAACAAAAAGTTTTCAAATTTTTAAAAAGCATTTTACGCTCATTTAAAGTATCTTAAGACACGTACGAGATATTTTTCCCCTTTTCAAAACATCAAACCAATAAAGAAAAGTTTTCAAGAAAACGTAAAAGGACCTGCAAGGCAATAATTCCACGGCAACGTAAAAGAAGTGTTAATCTCTGAACTCTTTCACATAATGCGTATGCGTAGTCAAAGACGAAGAAAAGCAATCATTTTCGTAAACAAAAAAAAAAAACTTCAAATATACTTAACTCAAAGCGATATGAAGGCAATTGATCATTTGCTTTTTGTGGCAATTCGTTTAGAGATTTCATCCTCTTTCTCAGCGGGGAAAAGAAAAACGGTGAGTTTGTGGAGTCACAAAATGTAGTTATTTTACCCTATACTCTTCAATTTGGTTCTGAATTTTATATCACTTGCCTCCGTTTGTCTTCTTTTACATTCACTTTACAACGCTATATATATATATATATGTTCTTGATCAGTATGATAAACAAAATACCTGCAAGTATGTCTGCAAATCGTTCGTCCGTCAAAATCTGGATTATGATCCCAAGCCTGCTCTCTGGTGAAAAAAATGTGCATAATAATTGATTATATTCGCTACTGATGGGTGGGTATAGTCAGGACCCAGATCAAAGCTTGGAAGACCCTTTCTAATATATACCCTTGCTGGTAAAAAGGGATATATTGCCCTAAAATTCGCCAAAAGCATTAGAAGTTTTTGCAAGCAGGTCACTATTATATCAATCCAAGAACACACCTGCAATACATATGCATTTGTTTTCAATAGCTCAGCCAACATTAGAGAGTATTGAGATTTATCTTTTATATTTCTCCTAGATCACATTGCTTTCAGTTTAACGCTTTAAATAGAGTCTGCTTCTTGTGAAAGTAAAATTGTGAATTTTGAAAGGATCCATCCGAAAAATCATAAGCCATACTATGTATCGATAGTTTCCATAGTGTGTTTCGTAAAGTAAACGTGGAAAATTTTCGATTTCTTTTTTTTATACTTTTCGGGAAACGAGCAAAAATCAAAAAACTTTACGCTCCACTACATGCTTCTGCTCCAACCAATTTGAACCATTTTCACTACCAACCTCCGTGCAGGAACTTCCAATATTTCTACCAAATTTGAAGTCGATATCTTCATTTTTGCGAACAAGAGAGTGCCAACAATAAACACCACAAAGACACACAGACGGATAGACATGGCTAAAGAAAATCATAATTTCACGCTCATCAAGAATATATATACTTTGTAGGGTCTCTGAAGCTTCCTTTTGCACATTACATATTTTATGGAAAAAAACAAAATGAGTATACCTCCATCTTACAATGGTGGGTATAATAATGGAAAATCTATAAAGGAAAGTTCTTAGCTCATGAACTATTCACATTCAAAAAAGTGGGAAATTTTCATCGACAAATTCCTTTAGCCATTTGTGGAATATTTGAAGATAAAGGCAAACGAATGATTGCAACATTAAAATGCTTTAGAGAAACGTCAACTTCAAACTGGCAGCGATGCTTGTGCGCTTGATGTCCTTGATTTTCTTTCACGAGTATTCTAGAGTCCGATCCGCCCGCAAAAATATCGAACATAAGTTCTTGCTATAGCTCATTGGCTATTATGTCTCCTAAAGAAACTTTAGTCTTTCACGTTAGCCGGAAATAGAATCCACGCATTTAATGGCAATCAATTTTTAGCCAATGTTTGGTACTAAAGTTGTCAAAGTTAAAGACAAGAGATTATTACAGTTTTGAAATTCAAAAGTCTGAGATGAACGAGTAACGCGCATCTAGATAAACCCGCTGTAGACGGAATCGTTTTTTTTAATTCTTCCAATATTTCTAATGCTTTTAAGGAAATCATGATAAAAATCATGACAATTATGTCATGATATTTAGCAAACATTTTTATTACCTAAGTAACTATTATTCGTTAAATTTTCCCGCTATAAGGAAAGTCACGCAGGTACAATTTTTATTAGTAATGACTAAAGCAATTCAACTGGAACATAATATTTATTTCTAGGTCGTTTAGACGCTTGATAATTTAATTTGTAAGATTAAATATTCTTCTGCATTTCTTCTCAAACTCGAAATATGTGTTTTTATCTATCTCTTCCTATTACTTTTTTAATATCTAATATAACTTCAGCAATGTACGCTACAGCGAGCAGAGACGTTTCTTTCGTAGCAAGTTCCATTAACTAAAATGATGTCTCTCTCTCTCTCTCTCTCTCTATCTCTCTCTCTCTCTTTCTCTCCCTATCCATCATATGTCGCGGATGCAAACAATTGCATGAGAGAGAATTTTTAAACTTCTGTGTCGATCCCAGGGTTGAAATTTCACTATTTCCTTAATAGAAACCGAACAGTAGCATAACAGTTCTATGTTGCATGTCATTAGCAGGAAATTTCAACGTATCTCGCTCTACCTTTATCATATGTCGTAGATGCAAACAATTGCATGAGAGAGAATTTTTTAACTTCTGCATCGATCCAGCCTTTGAAATTTCATTATTTTCTTATTAGAAACGTAGCATAACAGTTCTATGTTCCATGTCATTAACAGGAAGTGTCAACGTAAAGCACATGTTATTTTTTTGAGCACTTCAATACTTATAAGCTTGTCTTTTGAATTGAAGTCATTTAAAATTAAGACTATATACCAATGTCAACATGCTCTCAAACCAGCAACGAGACGCCTTCTATGAATGCTTTTCAATTTCGTTTTGATTTCGTTCTTTGGATATTTTTTTATAAAATCATATGTCGGCAATTGCAACGCCGTTCTTTCTTTAATTGCAAAGAGAAGAAAAAACTTTCCTGGAAAGTAAATTCGACGCACAATGATATTTGATCGGTAACTTTAGTTCAAATTTAACGCATAAGAATGGTTGATAACTTTACATTGCAAGTATGATGAAAACTAAATTATTTTGAAAGCAAGCTTATCTTGCAGGCCTGCAACATTAATGTTAACATAGCAAGCAAAGTCATAAAATCCAGTCACATCCTGAGCTAAAATACGTTTTTTTGAAATCATTTTCTAAATCGTAGATATGACCTTGGATAACGAAAGTGAAGTAAACCGTGAAAAATTTCACGTTCTCTCTTGATTGACTGGCTCGTTCCCATCGCGAATCAATATCTTAATCTTTTTTCTAATAATTTCAATGATCTCTTATATGGCATTCTATTAGAAATAGTTTACGGTCAAATTTTATGCATGTCAAGGGGTCTAGCATGTAATAATATGAACAGATGTTCTATTAACCTAAGCAAATATTAAATAATGTAATCTTTTCGCGAATTGATTTAGATGGTGCTTCAAAATTAGTCGTTACCCTCCTGATAGTATGAAATTTTCAAGAGTTCATTAGCACCGGTACCTTTTTCCTAGAATAACGGCCCTTGACGTCTTCTGAATATAAAAGGAAATATAAGTCCGTTTACTTGATTTTCTTGATTTAAAGAGATAAAAATGATTTTATTTTCAAGTCACACCCAATAATAATACAAATAAGTGAAAACTTTCTCAACATAATAATCGTAACTCAACTCGTATAGTTTACCAATCTATTAACAAACTTGACATAACTGCATATGTATAAAATGGTTTTTGTTTTCCTTTTGCGAAAAGCATCCAGAAGTCAGTTTTTTACAAGCGCACACATGCCCATCTATATATTGCCACAAAAAATATGCTTAGATTTCAACTCCCCAGGGTGTGATTTAGTATGGTGTACGGTGAAGGGCTCAAGGTGAAGTGTTTTAATGCCGTAAAAATGTTTATATACTCCGGTTGTACACTTGTCTACTGCATGGATTACATGCACGAGCTCAACTACAAGCGCACATGAATGAAGGTGTGAGATGGAATCAAAGTAACGCAGAGAGGAGAATGTTATTTGTACTATAAATTACAGTAAAGAAATTCAATTACATTTGTAAAAATAAGAAAAAAAAAAAAAAAAAAAAATATGGTTTTCATTATTTTAATTTATAACAATGTTCCAAGTTATTTATGCTTGTACGCATGTATGTATATTATATGGTGTTTGTACTCGTTAGGTATCCTGTTAAATAGGCAAAGTCCGCCAGAGTCGACACCATTGGAATCATGTCGAGTTGCACCGTATGTAAATTTGGCAACGGTACGAAATGCAAATGGAGCATCACAAGACAATAATATTAACTCCTCAGCGACGACAACGACGACTGGTGAAACGGGTGGCAAGCGCGCGAATAATGTATTTAATGCCCACCCCTATTTGGGCGTGGTTTCTGGAAATGGAACAATATCAGCTTTTGATCCAGCCATTATTTCAGCTGCCGCTCATCAGGTGCGTATTTAAATAAATTCAATAAAAATTAACGGCAAAAATACTAAAATCTTTTTTTATTATAATTTTTTTTTTGTTTATTTATTTATTTATTTATTAACGCGCATTTAACACACATAATGTTGTCCCCGTTCAGTATGCAGCTGCTATTGGAAATACAAATACAACGCATATGTTCTCCATTTCTCAATATCCTTTAAATTTGGCCGCTATTGCAGTTGCGCATAGCAAAAGTTCGAGCATAGCCGATTTACGTATGAAAGCAAAAAAACATTCCGAGTCGCTTGGCTTGGAAGCCGATAATGAAATCTAGTTGTATGTAATAAACAAATTTAAATAAACCCACAAAACATATATATATATATATGCATATATATATATATATATATATATGCACAAACACACACACAAACACACACACAAACACACACATATATATATATATAAACGTTAATATGCATTTCTTTGTGTTTACGTACTTTCCCACGTCTGCATTGGCAGGAACTGGACAAATGCGTTTTTCTTTTTTTTCCTTCTTTAATACATTCACGAGATTCGTTTCCTCACCCCGATCTGTCAACTTGAAAGAAGTAAATCTTTTTAAAAGTCAATTTTTGCAATACATAGTTAAAATACCTTAATTTATTACGAAATAAAGTCGAAAGAGTTTTTAAATTGCATTTCACCAAAAAAAAAAAAAAGGAAAAATGCAAGAAAAGTTATCTATTCAGGCATGTTATGATGCATTAAATTCTTCAAAATATAATATTGATTCACTACAAAACGGATTCACTGGCTCCAGGAATGCAAAAGTCAAACGCACTCGAGTCGATAACTCCTTCGAAAATAGTTTCAGCAGCGGCTTCTTTCTTGCAGATTACAATGTAGATCTGCCACGGCTTTAGTAAGTACATTAGCGAACGGTGCCAAGCTAACTCGGGTTGTTTCTGCAGCTTTAATTAGGCGATGGGTGGTCGGACAATGTCGTGAAGAAAGACGCTAAATTTTCTACTAGGTAGTGCCGGATGCAGACTTTTCATTTTGCAGTAAATTTCACCGTAATATCTCTTCTTTGCCCTACTAATTTTCCCTGAGTTGTAAGCAATTAATTTCTTTTGATACCCTGCACCACTTGTGCTATAGGGTAATTTAAGCTACGGCGCACGTACGTAACGTCCAGGGGGACTTAAGAGGGAGGCACACCTTTGATTATACCGATCAATTCAGAATAATTTTCTAAGTCGATATAAGCTTGTCTGTCCCTCTGACGTCTTTCCATGTAAATTTGTGTTCAAGCAGGTACAGATCGCGAGTTTTGAAATATTTTGATGAAATTTGGTACCGTGGCGAGCTTTGGCCCGAGGACAAACGCTATTAAAAATGGTTTGGATCAGTCCAGTTTTTCGACCACTCCACCTATAACGCCCTTTTCTGAAAAGTCGTTATATCGAAAAAAATTGCAACTTTCAAAATTTCTCAGCAAACATGGCTAAGCAGTATATCGTTTGGGCATTCTAAATTGATATGGAAACTTTGGACGGGCAGTGGCAATTTTTGGATCCCCTCGGATATTAAAAACTGAAGTTCACATGAAAAAAGGGTATAATTTTGAATGCTTCACGAAAAGAGTTATATCAAAAGAGTAATTTAATATAAGCAAAAATTAACTGCATCAAATGAACATGGACATGGAAAATGTACCTTTATATAGAAACTAGATATAATTCTTGTGTTCTATAATGAAAATAAGAATTGTGTTGGACAATGTGGTGTAGGGTATTCCATGATCGGCCTTGTAATGTTCTTACTTGTTTGAAATAAAAAAGTAAAATATATCTTATATGGTCACTTTGATCTTTCACATCACACTTACATCTCGCATTTTAAAAGTCTTTTACAAATGGAACCTAAGCCTGCTCTACATAACTGTATATAGCTTTAATTCCAACTGTCTATCTATCTAACTGGAAAAAGTTTTTTTTAGCTGATGTCGGAAAAAACTGCAAAAAATATCCGGATTACCAAATAGTTAATATCGATTCCGGTAAAAATGAAGAAAATACTAAAAGAAGCAAAATCTAAGTTTCTTTTACTGTTATCACGTTAGCGCCACTACTTTATTATTTGATATATTATTTGATTTTCTTTTTTTTACAATATTTGCGTACATCCCGAAACATGGATACGGCTTGTTATGTGTACAATATTCATAAGCAAGCTGAGCAAGTAAAATTTTGTATGTTAGTCTATTAAATCCAGAAATGAGTGGGCTTTTTTTGAACTACGCCTTTTTCGATGTGCGTGCGTCCTTGATAGAAAGAAATTTTTGATTATACTAAAAGAGAGCATGTGACATGTGAAAAGATAATATCATTTCCATAATACAATATAATAATATATGTAGTTAATTAGAATCGCCCTGCATTGGACGAATGAAAAAACTATTCGAAATTTTTAATTTTATTTCAAAAAGTGACAACACTTCATCGCGTCATCTACTACTGCCAATGCTGCTGAATACGGCTGTGAAATATGTGTAACGGTAACACTGCCACTGTGATTACCAAATACTAAGTAATCGAATACTAATAAGTATTTGCTTGCAAGTGAAATTATAAATTATAAAGAGCGCCGTCTTTGAGTTATTGTGTGAAGAAAATTTTCAATAATATTTTGCGAAATTTAAGCTGCTTATTATCGTTTAAGATTAATTCGTTTTTAGATATAATTTTGAAGTTTATTGTGACACAAAAATATAAAAAATGTTGAGCATTGTGGGAAGCAAAACTAACATCAATAAAGAGAACAATGGTAAGTAAGCATTTTAAATAAAATAAAACTCCTTTGAATGAAATGGAGAGCAGAGAAGTGTTAACGGATAACGTTCTTCCAGTGCTGTGCTGACATAGCCAATGAATCTCTGATTTTATCCGGGCGGCAGCGCAACTGTCCGAATGAGAAATTTGAAAAATAAAATTTCTCATTTCCCTATTATTCCTTTAAATCTCTAACAAAGAGAATTTATGAAAGAAAAATTCTCTTTTAAGCCATTAAAGGATGACCAGCAAAGCTGTGATCTAAGCGACCAAGTTCAACGTTATTCATTTCGACTACGAAAAACTTAATTTTATTTCTTTGGGTTTCTTAAAAACACACCTTTGGTAATGACACTTGAGAACGTATAAAACGAATGATCGTCAATATGAGTGTCTATCCTGCGGACTAAATTAACGTTTTACTCCATTTATAATTAATTCCTGTAAAAATATATTTCATAGAATCAAATTTTCTTTGTATTTTTAAATACGTAGTTGGAGATTATACAGCTAAACTAGGTGACTCGGCCAGGAAGCGTTCAGTTAAGAAACAACCATTCAACGCATTGCAAAATGTTATGCATAAGCAGACATTCGCAACACCTTTCAAAAGTGCTAACATTCAAAACTCAGCGAAATTCCATAACAACGTACAATGTTCTCTACCGCGTAAAAAGTTTGGTCAACACTTGACGCCGACTACAAAGCCGCAAACATCACTATCATCTGCTCAAATTTCTGAAATGGATCTTCTTCTTGATTCTTTCGATATTGATAGACCTTGCTGCAAGGAGCCTTACAAAAGTAAGTATTATGTATTCCTCCTTTCTACTAATGTATTTACTTCATCCGATTAAAAGCCGATAGCCTACGTTAGTAGTGCTCAATTGTTTTCATTTTAGCTTACGAATTTATTTTGTTGATCTAAAAAAATTATAACAATATGGTCTAAAATAATTACTCCCAGTAAACTAAATATAATCTGAAGTAATTAAGAAATAAGAGAAAAAATGCATTCTAGCAAATTAACTTGGGTTTAGGCCAAATGCAAAGTTACAAAACTTCTCATAAAATGTTTCGTGAACTCGTTTAATTTTTGATAAATGTAGGCTTTCATCCGAATTGGATGCTGGTGCGAAGATTGTCATAAGGCAATGCGTACGGTTAGAGTTAAGGTCCCGCAAATAGATAAAGGGCAAAAGATTAAAGAGCATTTAAAATGCAACCCATGTAAGGAACGAGAAAAAAAATAGTGAGGAATAAGTATTAATCATTTGCTTAGTATTATGAACCTGTTTAAAGGTTTAAATTGCCTTTTGTCACGCAATAGTGATTGTAGTTTAAAAAGAAGATAACATTATTCGTTAGTGCGAAATGCCTTTACTGATTTTAATATATAGGCTAGCTTTGTCCGTCCAGGAAAAGCATCAAGATCATAATCGAAATTCGCCCGTTTCTGTTAAATTAATTGTATTAGGTATGTTAATACACACGTATATATTGCTGTGGTTTTTTCACCTCCCAAATACTTGATAGATCATGATATAAATTCTGCGCTTTATACGAAAAGATCAAAAAGAGAACATTGAATAAAATTCTCAACCTCAGTCAGATCAACAAATTTTCTGAGATAGACCATCTTTGTTAATGACCCCTACGCTATGTTGCTTTTAAAAGGAAGATTTATATACAATTTGGGCTGCCTTTCACTCTAACGATTAAAGGATTTTCGCAGAGTTTGTCAGTTTGGCTGATTTTTTCATTGGAAAAAATGATTTTTTTTTTAGCTGATTAACTTATGGAAGTAACGATCAGTGCAGTTGCGAATTTTGGTCGTTTTTCTAAAATTTATCCGCAAGTTTATCTAATTTCCTATAAGCGACTTTCATTTTAAACGCAAAATTTCCTCGGTCGATCATTGTTGGCTGATGACAATGTAACAATTGTGTTTAGAAAGAACATAGTCATATATCATTATATTTTATGTATTACGTTATGTTAACAAATCAAATGAAAAAGTTTTTTCCTCGAAGCGTTTTTTATATTAATTAAACAAGTATTTTTCAGGTCTCGAGCAAATTTGGTCTGAAATGGATTTAATTGATGACGCTCGCCTGAATAAATTGATAAACGGCGATATTACAAAGATTGATGAGGAACCCGAAAATATTTCAGATTACGATGCTAATTTCAGCGATGATGATGAATTCGATTTTCCATTAACAAATTTTTCAAATCCTCACACTAATGATGAATTCGATCAACTATTTAAATTAGAGAAACCCATTTTGTGTGATGATTACGATTTTTAATTTTTTATATTTATTTATGTTCATTTCTGAATTTTGCTTCCTTTTTCATTATATATGAAAATGTGTGTTTATTTATAATTAAAATATTTGAACGATTCAAGAAGTTCTTAATACATACATTTACTTGATCAATTACTCATATTAATGGAAACCACATTTATTTAATAATTTCCTTTTTTATTTTATGTATATGTATTGACGTTTAACGTAGTTATGTTAATCGTAGTTATATCTTACTTCCATTCTATAAATAAATCATAGTATTCTCTACTCTTAAATCATTTATTTGGTTGTAATTGAAATATTGCAATGGTTTGTGAGCTGTATTACTTGAATTCGCATGAATCCATTAAGAATAATTTAGAACTATTCTTTTAAAAGGTAAGATATCTCTCAAAAATTCATCAAGGCATTTATTGCAAGTCTTCATCAATTTTCAGGAATTTTCAAAAAATGGCATTATGTCTTAACCGTATCATATTGCTTTCGTATAATACCCTATATTATCTTTAGAGCTCAATTATTAATTTTAGTTTGGAATATGGGAAATTATGTCCCAAAACAGATCACTCGCTAGAAACAATTTTTTTTTTATTTAATTCGAAAACAGGTGCTCTTGATAGTCATCGATTTTTCTAAGAGACGTTTTTAAGGTTCAAATTCGTTGTTTCTTTGGAATCCCCGTATATTCAACATATTTAGAAATATATATCCCTCTAGGGCAGTTGTCAGTCTTCCATTTGTGTGGAATGCTCACCAATATTCCGAAATAGTCTAAATCGCTTTAAAACTGACTATTTGATGACTGATGATGATCGGCTTCTATGGGTGTCACAATGCTCGGATGTTATTCGTATCTATTTTACTATTTTATTTAAAATTATTCCTATTAATAATAAAACTATTAATAAATAATAAATTTAACTATAAATGCATTTAAAAGAAGTGACACGAAACACTCAGTGGAAGGTCTCTCTCCCGGAATATCCGATAGTAAGCTTTGGCAATTGACAATTTCTTAAATATTGCTCCGTTTGCAGCCGGGTAGCCAATGTGCACAGCTGCAAAATTCAAATTGAAATATTAAGTCCAGTTGACACATATTATATGAAAGAAAATAAGTAAGTAAAGATATGTGTTTAAATTAATAAAAAAATTGTCTAAATTGCTTTCCTGCCAATCACTCAGTCCCCTTACTTAGGCAAATGCATTTAAGCAGTCTTTTTATCAGTTATTCCTGGTAAAGTGTCATTTCTATCTCGCAAAAAAAAAGCATGTCGGCACAAAGTCATCTATATTTTTGCATCTTCTCCATCGATTAATATATGATATAAAATATGATATATGATGAATAAAACAAATAATGCTGAGATAAGTCGATATCTTTTTTTTTCATACGGACATAGAGTTCCACATTCATTGCAAAACTCTCTACTATTTTAAGGATATTCCTCGCTGCACTTTCAAAACCTTCATGAGTTGAAAAATTCTTCTCTCCTCTCGTTTCCTCTTTTAAAGTTAGCGAGTAGAAAATATTTATTGCAGATTGTAAAACTTTTTACTCCTTTCCATCATATGTGAATCTCTTTCAGCCCATAAATACTAAGCTCTATGCAATGTCTCTTTCTAGAAACCTATTTTTAATCACTTTTAGTTTATATTTAAAAAAGAAAAAAAATAATAGAACCGTGAAAAATAATTAAAAATGTCATAAAAATCTAACTGAAGCACCCAAGCACTAATTGGGGACGAATTCCGCCACATTAATATTATAAGAATTAAACATTTCTTACCAAAGACATACATCCTAGTAATAATAGAATTGTAAAAGTTACTGAAATTATTACTGCATTGCGGCATTTATTCAAATGACCGTCAGTCGCGTCCATTATTGATCCTTCGCCTGGCATTATGACCGTATATTTTAAATTCTCCTCGATACGTGTGTATTCTTGATTGTTTCCACCAGTATTTAAGGTCAGATTCTGATGAGTAAGTTCGCGTCGCCTTCTGCCGTGACCCGATGGTTCGTACAAATCCATACAAAAATCTGGTGCACAATCGCTGGCCTCTACGCACGCTTTAATCTGCGAATGAATCCATAATGTTGCTCGCTCGCCCATAGAACTTAATAGGAAAGCCTCAAAGTCTAAGAAAACTTCATTTGGCCGATCTCGATATTTGGCCGGCTGATGAGGTATAATGGTAGCAAAATCCCGATTACGGCAACCATTTCGAACTAGCCACACAGCTCCGCCAGCTTGGGGTTTATCGGGATCGGGAGAAACTGTAACTTCCATAAGTTTAATATACTTCCAAGCAGATGGACCGATACGAGCTCGAAGCTGAAGTTTAGTACCAATCGGAACAGCTTGGTCTACTGGAACTTCACTACTTGTCGACGGTTGATCCTTTGAGGAACCCACTGGAGTATTTATACCATTTACTCTTGCTATTGGTGGTGCTTCCTTATATAAAGCAACTTCGTATTCCAATCGACCAGGGGTTTCCTCAACAATACCCGATACTCGTGCGCCATGAGGACTGTACAATAAATTATATATAAAATTGGATTTCCGAATAAAAATAATGATCTGAATTTTTGATTAAATTGAAGGAGCGATAGTAAAAGTCCGTACTATTTGAAAAACAATAGTCATAAATTTGCATACGAGGGATTCAATAACATGGTCGTAGCGATGTATAAAAAGTATATAAAATATTTCGATTTTTTCCACTTATTACATGAAAACAAAAGGGTAAAAATTTGCAAATTCTCAAATATTGGTGCTGATCGAAAACTTCTCGTTGAGAACTTCATAGATAGCATCATGCCTGTTTTGGAAGATCTCAACGGTGCCCAAAGTAGAATGCGAACAAGCTTAGCACGTATTTTTTGCGTAAAAGAGATAGTTTAAAAATAGGCGTGGTCGATGCTTATGTGTATAATGCCTACGATTGCTAAGAAACTAAAAACTGAACCTATAACAAAAAATGGATCAAAAATTTGGTAAGATCTTCACAAGGTCAACGAATCGCTTCATACATAGACGATCGAAATAGCACGGTGAACAGTCCCCGAAATGCAATCATTTTTTATTTACTTGAGAACGAAAATACACGCGATTTTTCAAAAACCTAATTTACCCTAGTGATCTTTAATTGTCATGCCCTATACTACTTGTAGTACTATGTTACATTAAATTTGGGCGGATATAGGCATCACCTAGAAGGACTACATCCCCCTTGCTGAAACAATCTAAGCTTACGTTTTCTTATGTCCGTCGTGTATGTCTGCGTTCAACTTATCAGTTGACGAAATTTGGAACGCTATTGAACATGGATCACTCTACTTCATTCCACCACTTTCCACTGCTTTATTTTCAAAGGTTGCACAATGAACAAATGCATTAGACAAAGTGGTGTAAGTTATGTAATGGTAGGCAGTAGCCCAATACAATATTTTGCGGTGTGCATAGCGATAAAAGTAAGTATTGACAAATTTCAGTTAACACCAAAAGATGGGGACATATTAATTTTGACAAAAAGCAAGCTTCAGAGACCCCATATACATATACATATGTATTTTGTGAATATATGTTCTCGATCAACATCAAATCCTGAATCGACTGAAACATGTCCATGTCTGCATCTGCAAACTATTCAAATTTGGCGGAGACATTCTAAGTTCTTGCAGGCATGTTTATGTTGAAAATGGGCTAGGCGTTCCATAGTACAAGCCCACCTAAACGAAGCATTTTTTTCTCATTACTCACAAACTTTAATAGATATACTGGCAAAAATTTTCAAACATATTCCTTGGGTGATTATAAACCATCTGCACACACGAACATATTAAAAGTGATCGGCCTCGCCCACGCGCAATATTATAGAGTATTACAATTTTGTTTTCTTTAAGATATGGCGATAAGTATAAAAAAAGATTCGGCCATAGCCGAATGCAGTTTTCTTAGTTGTTGTTTATGATAATACCTACAATGCACCAGCAAATCCAGCCGCTTTATTCTCCACAACGGTCCGTTCGGGTGGTTTACACATTATTATTAATTCCTGATCCGATTGCATAACAACTCCTGGATATTGCGGGAACCATATGCGTACATGTATAAAACCCTAAATTAATTAATTGCATTTGTTTAGTAATATTGAGCAACGTTTGGAGGATAGATATAATTTACATTTCTCTTTAGAACTCCGCAACGAGAGAAATCAGTAATTTTTAGACTATAAGTTAATTGAGCTGCATCGTCCGGATCCTGTTTTATAATGCAACTAAAATCCGTATCCGGATCAATCGAACGATAATCAGCAAATAAAGGATCACCTTTGAAGCTCGGTGGTTTCTTCAGCTTCGCTGTAACGTAATCTTGTCCAGTAGCCTCAGCTGTCGTGGAAGAACACTGGATATCTGAAACTGTGTAAGCATGATCTCAAACTGATTAAAAACACAACAATTTCTCGACATATGTATGCATATAACATACCATCGTAATCTTGAGCCCATACAAAGTTATATATCATCTGAAAGTATTTTATATAAAATCATCCATTAGCAATAATATATAAATAAGTAAATGAAAATGTTAGGTGTAAAAATTGAAGAATTGCTTCGAGATTAGGGGAAAAGAAGCTACGCTTGACTCTTAAATTCTTTTTCATTCATTACTGCGGTTAGTTCATGTGGATATTTGAATGTTCCTAAAACGATAGCAGAAGGACCAGCTGTCCGTCCTAAAGCCTCTATGTTCAGTCTAAAGTTGTTGATGTTCAATTTATTGCAATTGAAAATGAAACCTTTCTTCTTACGATTACTCATTACGTGACGTCAAATTTAGAATAAGTAGATTTAACTGCCGATGTCGCCTGACCGTCATTGAACGGGAATTGAACAGAAAACTGTCAGTCAAATAGCTTCGATTTAAGAAAGGCTATGGAAAATAAAAATCGAATTCGGGAAAAGGAAATATGAAGAATTTATCTTAGGGAGATTCTTCAATAGAGCTGAACACTGAAAAATGGGAGTAAGCTAGATTTGGCGGTGCTCTTCTGACACCCGCATATACAAATATTCTTGATCAGGATTTTATCTCTTAGCAAAAAGCTTAGAATCGCAAAACTCAATATAGACGTTTCAATCCTATAGAGCTGCTTAGTTGGCAGCGTTCAGGATCAAAGACAAAAGATTCTACATTATAATCCTTAAAAGATATTAATCCAGAATAT